ATGTAAAAAAAAAATCATTACTCTTTGTTTTTATTTACCTTGTATGCCTTTATTTTGTCTGTCTGACTTTGCAGTGTTGAACCCAGGGCCTTCATACTGAGTTACATCCCCTATCCCTTTTTATTTGGAGACAAGATCTTGCTAGGTCACTAGGTTACTAAGGCTGGGCTTGGGAGGACTCCTGCCTCAGCCTCCCAGAGTGGGATTACAGCATGCACTATGTCTGATGCTTTGTTATTTCTTGCATACAGCAGTTAGGTCATTTTTTTTAAAAAGAGACAAAACTGGTTTCATTTCAGTGTTACATTGGTCTCAGCTTTGCCATTTGGTCATATGGTATGAATACTTTGGTACTGTAAGTTGTTTTGTAAATATTTCTTAGTCCTATAATGTGCTGTTTTCGCCCTTTGACTTAGCATTTCTTCGGATATTTAAGCTTTATGGTTCATTATTGCAGCTGTCTGTATATTTATACCTTTTTTCTAATGTAATTGTTTATTTTTCATGTTTGTCCTATCAGTTTTTTGCTTCATGTATTTTTTCTTCTTACACATACATATATATATTTTTCATATTTATCACCCTTTAACCTTCCTTATACCTCTCTGTGTTTATGCCTTTTTAAAACCCCTTTTGCTCCTGTTTCCTTACTTACCTAGGGTGAGGGCTTTGTTAGTTTTTAATGGTATGTTTTAATTCCTTATTGCTGTTTTAACAACCTATGAGTTTATGTTTTTTCTCTTCTACTTTTTCAGTTGCATTATATCTATTTTATCTTCTTAAACTGTCATTTTGCTCTTAAATCTATAGTTAAATATATTACATTTTTATGATCAATCTATTTGCTTATTGGTTAAATGAAGCATAATTTTTAAAAAAGAGTTCATGGGCACAGTTTTCCTTGAATTCTTGAGTATTTGAAAATGTTTTTCTATATCCTTGTAGTACAGGTTGGCTGGCAGTAAAATCCTGGGTTTTCTTTTTCATTCTGTGTTTGCAGTGTGGCCTTGCTTTAGATGTTATTTTTGATAAATTTGATAGCTAGTCCCAATTTTCTTGCTTTTGCAAGATACATGATTCTTTTGCTTGGAATTCCTTGGGATTCCTGGGATTTCTTATTTTTAAAGTCCTCTTATTTTTACTGAGATGTGTCTTAGAGTTAATTATAGCAGGTCAGTTTTCCTTGCTATCTTTTTATTATGTGGTAGGACAGGTACATTGTTTGCAAAAGGTCTTCATAGGTTATGGTCTTAAATGTTTTGTTTTATTCCAGTGTTTTATTTCTTCTGCAAGAACTCCAGTTATACATAATTATACCTTTTTTTCATCTTCCATTTCAACAACTTTCTCTCTGACTAGTTTTACTTTGATTTTTCCTTTTTATTTTTTTGTTTTCAATGACTTTTATTAAATTTTTATTTGCATCTTTTTTTTTTTTTTAAATTTTTTTCTGGTACCGGGAATCGAACTCATGACCTTGCACTTGCGAGGCAGGCGCTATGCCGCTGCCCCAGCGTCTGTTTTTGAATACTTGCAACTTATTCAATTCTGATACAGTTTTGTCTTACCTGAGTTCAGTTACTCTTTTCTTTATGCTTTTGACCATTCTGTTTTTAAGTTTTAAATTTCTGATCCATGGTGTATTTTCATATCCCCAAATGGTGTTTAAAGAGATACAATTTAGTTTGGAATGTTTATTAGTCTTCGTTTTTGGTTCCTTGGAGTATTTTTCATCAGTTTGATTTTTCTGATTTCATCTCTAATAGTACTTTCATATAGATGAAAATTGTCTATAACTTGTTTTTGTGCATAGGGTTTGTTGTTTTTATTGGGTCTTGTGAGATGATTAATTGAAGAGTGCCCTTCAGTGTCAGGTTAGCAAAGTATAGTTTGTGGATGGCTGTTTTTATGTCTGTTGCAGAAGAGAATTGTGTGTTGTACACACATTTGATATATACATGTGCAAACATACATGTCTGTATTACCTTTAATGTACAGGAGGAAGGGTTTATTTTGCCGCACAGTTTCAAAGGTTTCAGTCCATGGCCAGCTGGCTCCAACAGGGGACATCATGGTGGCAGGGCATGGTGGAGCAGAGTGGCTTACTTCGTGGGGACCAGAAAGCAGAGCATAGGGGAAGAGTCCCAGTGAGGAATACATCCTGCCAAAGTGTGCCTCCAGTGACGCACCCTCAGTTGGGCCCCACATCCTAATAGCATATTCAGCCATGAACATCAGGGGTTTAATCCACTGAGGAATATTGCACCCCCATAATCCAGTCACCTCTCCAGGAGCCTCTTAGTCCATTTCAGCTGACAATTAACTGGCACAACATAACATACATATGCATGCGTGTGTGTGTGTGTGTGTGTGTGTGGTATTCATATTTTGAGGTTCTTACAGAATTTCCTTTTTGGCCTCTTTTTCCTTCGCCTTCTGATTTCCAAAAACACTCCACACATTTTCCCCCCTCTCTTTTGCCTTTGTATTGGGCAGGGTTCCACAGAGACATAAAACCAATAGGATGGAAATCTCTCCCCCTGAATCTAGAAAGGGATTTATAATAAGAAATTTGCTGACATTATTATGAGTGTTAGCTGTAAGCTGGGGATCAGGAAAGCCTTTACTGTAAGGAACCAGGAGCATCAGTGGTGTTAAGTTCCAGTCCAAGGGCAGAAGTAGACCAGTGACTTAGCTGAAGCTGTTAAGCAGTGAGAATTCAACCTTCCTCCCCCGTCTGAATCTATTTGGGCCTCAGAAGATGAGATATTATTTACCCGTTGAGGGGAGGGAAGTCTGCTTTAGCCAGTCCACCAACACTGATCTCTTCAGGAAGCACTGTCATGGAGATAGCAGAAATGATATGTGGCTAGGGAGAGATTTGGGCATCCCGTTGCCCATGTGAGTTCCAGGTAGAATTTCCCAGCACACCTTGAACTGCTGCCTTCCTGGGACAGCCTCCTACAGTCAGGGTGCCCACTTCAGATCCCCTCTCCGTGGCTCGTAATGTCAGTACTCGTCTCCAGGATTTTCTCCCTCAGGGTGGCTTTCTCCTTTTGGGGATTTTTCCAAGCTTGTTCCCTTATTCTTCCTCCTATGCTGTTTTTCCTTCTAGAGCCACCTGTGCTGTCTGTAATGATTTAAGGAAACAGTTTTAGAAATATCTCCAGCAGCATGGGATTTATATTTTCTCCGTTAGGAAATATAAAGGTAATAATTTATCTTACAGCTGTAGAGGAGGTATGGAATTTGTGTAGTTTTATTTTACTTTCAAAAACTAACCAAATCAGGGGATTTGGATTTACAAGTTACTAATAACTCACTTAATCCATGATTTATGAAACTTTATTTCAAATGGTACTTTCTCCTCTGCCAGGAATAAAGTGGGCCTCTTGGTCCATAACACATTGCAGAGTGCCACCTGGCTGAGTTAGCACTCGGGATGAAGCCTGTGTGCTTGTCTGATAGGTATCTTAAGGCAAAATCGTTGTAATATCATTCTGCGTACCACTGTCTACACAGCCCCCAAATGGAACTCCCTCCAACTCCTGTTACACACAGGGTATCTTTCTTTCGAAGGCTGTAGAGCCCCCCAGGATATAAAGTGTATAATCGAGTTAGGAAGTATAATGTTTGGGCTGAGGATAGTGCTGAGACCCCCCTCCCCCGCACATGCATGGGCATAGCATGCTTGAAGTCTCTTGTATCACAGAAGCTGCTGGGCGACGCCTGGGATGGCCTCTTTCTCTGGGTGAGGGTGTGGGGCTGTGAATAGAATGCTTCCTCAGCAGTCAGTAGATGCCGAGGTAGGTTCCCAAGAAAGGGAGGTGGCTGAGGAAGGACAGTTGTCTTACTTAGTTCTGATCCCTTCCATGTTCCAAGCATTGAAGCCATTGGGAATGAGCTTAAGCAAAAAAAGGGGTTTAAAGGAAAAATTCTGGCATGTCACCCTGCCCTGAATGGCAGCCAGGTCCTGTTCAGGTGTGGAAGTCCGGGTGAGAGGTAAAGCAGCTTGCTTTAGGTCACACAGCAAATGAGGGGCAGAGTAAGGATTTGACCGGGGAGCTGGCTGTCCTCATGATCATAGCACCCTGCTGCTTCTGCTCATTTTCTGGGGGCCGGAATGTAACGTTAAGGGTGCCACAGGAGTCGCTCTGAAATGGGAAATGCTGCTGTGGTGCCTTCTATCTAAGCGGTATCCTCTTCATTGCAGGTAGTGACTATTCCAGAAAGCCCTTTTAACCTTAAGTCACCTTTTGTAAACAGTTTCTATAGTTTCTTACTTTAAAAGTTGGCTTTTGTACTGCAGCATGTTTCTGTAAAGTATCTTTCCTAACGGCCGTTGCCGCAGCCTCACTTGTACAGCAGAGTAGTAGTTGACGGCAAAAATAATTGCTGCAACTATTAGAAATACTTGCTAGTGAAAACTTTCGGCTTTTGACTATCCAAAGGAATCCCAGAATTTCCTCTGTAGTTCTTTTGTGGAGTTTACATTCGGAAAATCTGCCAAGTGGGTGGCAGAGTCAAGAGCCATCTAAATATTGCAAGAAAAAACTAGGACTTGGAAAGTATTTATAGGTATTTAAATGCGAAAGTAGGTGAAGAGGGTATGATGGTGATTATTACAATAAAAGTTAAGGTGTAATTTCAGAAAATGGAAAAATGTGCATGTCAAATAGTGATTTTTCCAAGTGTTGAAACACAGATAATGAAAACTTAGGCTTTAAAGGTAGTGAAGTCAAATAAACCATTTCCAAAAGCCTAAAGTCAGAGTTGGCTCAGCATAAAGAAAGCTTTATAAAGTGCCTTTTTTTCCCCTTCATGATCCTAATGGGCCCCGACCCAAGATGTTTCAGTAAATGTCCCTGAACTATGTAATTTAATATTCTGTTCAAGCTAAATACATGCTGTATTCACCGTGCTTTGACAAGTTTAAAATTATCTAAGCTTGTTTTTCCTTCACCTTTTTTTCTTGTTTCCTAATTATTCTGCTAAGTGGCACCTAAGCGAGAAAGCTGGCAGGATTCCGAGGAGGGAGTTTATTCAACAGATATTTATTGTACCTTGGCCATGCGCCAGGCGTTGTCCTGGACAAGTGACACATTCAAGTGACCAAGGCAGCACCTACTTTGGATTTCAGAAATAACCCTTCGGCTTTCCGAATACTTGGTAAGTTAGATTGTGACTACATTTGGAACACACTTAAGTGTGTCATGTACAAAATCTTTAGACTTTCTTCTCTGGATCAAACAGGGTGATATTTACTGTTTCTTCACCTAAGAGCTCTGTTCGTCCTTCTGACCAGTGGCTGCTGTTCACACATCACAGTGAATACATACATTTTTGTTTTACTTAGTAATTTAATCTCTTTAACAAAAAGTATACTATGTAACAGTGATAGGAGAGGCTGCTGAGAAAACGGCTACAGGCACAAGGTGAGGGCATCGTAAAGGGCCAGGGGTGGTTGCAGTCTGCAGGGCTGGTAAGTGGCAGAAGCTGGAGTCTGCTTGCTGGGCCTGCCTTCCCCTGTGCTGCTTTTTATTCTCTGACTTCTGCTTGCATTAGACTTGATCTCCTCCCTCCTTGGAAGTCTTGCACAGGTTCCAGTTACTCAAATCTTTCTTACAAGGGCTTTAGAATATGGTGGTGAGTATGAGAACATTTTAAGCTTATGTGTACTGTATTTACTGTTTTCCCTTGATTTTGAAATAAATAAAATATTGCCAACACAAAACTTTTTTTTGTTTTTTTTTTTGAGCCAGGGTCTTACTTTATAGTGCAGGCTGATCTTGAACTCACTGTGTAGCACAGGCTGGCCTGGAACTCGCAGGGACCCTCCTGCCTCGGCCTCTGTAGTGCTGGAATTGCAGGTGTGTACCACCACACTTGTCAAAATTTAAAAAAAGGAATGCTATTGGCATGTGTAAAGAAATAATCTTTTTAGAATTTATAATGGACATTTTTAAACATACAAAAACGTAGGGAGTGGTAAAAGGAACCTGTTACCCATTTTGAAAATTTATTGGGAACTGACCAGTCCAGGTGTATCTTATTTTCCCCAGATTCATGTGTGGAAACTTAATGACCATTGTGGTGGTCTTCAGAGGCTGGTCTTTGAGGAGTGGGCGAATCAGCCCTTAAGAGGGTGGACGTGAGAGGGGGCGTTCTTGCTCTCCCCCTTTGCTGCCATGTGAAGAGGAGACGTGGCCGTCGTCCCCCGTCTTTGCCCTCCGCGCTTTTTGCCGTGTAAGGAACCTGACAATAACGTCTGCGCGTCAGCACCTCTACCAGACACTGAGTGCAGGCACCTGAGCTAGACTTTGCAGCCTACAGAGCCCTGAGAAGTAAATTTCTGTTGCTCATAAATCACTCAGTCTTAGGTATTTGGTGTTCTAACATGAACAAACTAGGACACTCAGACATATGTCTTTAAGGTGCATGTCACTATGAGATAAAGGACTCTTAAAAAAAAAGAAAAAAAATCATAACCTTTATGTCATCCAGAATGTACAATACAAGAAATTTGTCTTTGCAGCTGAAATGGTTTCACAGCAGTATGTTCTAATTATAGTAAAGTCAGGGATAAATTGCTAAGCATATGCAATTCATGTTACAGACTTTCTGGAGCATATTGGTTACATATTTTTAGTTTTTATTTTTTAAGTACTTAAAATACACATCATTTCCATCCACATTTTCCTGATTTACAAAATGGGAATTGTGTTGTTTATTTAAAAATTTTTGACAGCTTTATTGAGGTAAAACTTATATACCATAATAAAATCCAACCATTTTAATTATACCATTTGGTGACATGATAAAAAGTTTAGAGCAGATGAGCTCTAGGGTTCTAATTCTGATTTATAAACCTGTTAATGTCTGTATGACCTTGGGCCAATTACTTCTCTTTGCCTAGTTTCCTCATCAGATAAAACGAGATATGAGTAAAATTGTGTGTAGGTGTTCATTGTATCATATATGAGGATGAAATAATATTCTTGGAACATAAAGTATCAGATTATGTTATTTGTGTTAACGTTGGGACTGTTTTTACCTAGGATTTCGAAGGCTTTAGTGGGAATACTTTCACTCTTGCCTTCTTGGAGAGCAGGTGATAGTAAACTAGTAAGATATAAATGAATAATTAGTGGGGGAAGGAAAATTTAGCTGCTACTAATAGATGCCCTTTATTATGTGTTTCTTATCCTGGAGTATACTAGATGGGGTGCATACAAATTAATTCATTTAATCCTCAATCCTGTGGAGTAGGTTCAGTGATTATGTCTGTAAAGATGTCAAAGGAATTTGTAGAAATATCTAACTAGTTTGTGGCTGCCTGGGAGTTGTATACTACCACAGGGCCATGATGTTTATATTGCACTGAACTGTCTTCAGGGAGGACAATTCTTGGGAAGAGACAACTTCAGTGGGGGTGGTCATGACTAGGGAAGGCTAACTAGTATTGCAGCAAGGCTTAATAAAAGGTGTGATCGTTCAATAAATACTTCATTTTCCATATGTCTTATGTCAATCTGTTCCATGTGATAGTGAAATGACATTTCAGTTGTTGAACAAGTTAATAGTATGAGTATATTCAGCGTTGTTTTGTTGGTTTTACCACAAAAATACATTACATGCATTGTTTTTAAAAATGGGGCTCTTAGTTTGATAAATAGTAACTCATATATTCCACTTTCTTTTTGCCTTAGTAACACTATCATAGTTTGCATTCTTGGTAACTTTTTGGTTTTTTAGTTACTTTAAAACGTTTTGAAAACTTTTTTTTCCAATACGGTGTTTGGCACATACCAAGTATTTACATTATAGAGAAAAGATTGTAGTACCAAAGTCTCAACTCACATTATAGTTGCATTATTTTATTTGAGCAAAAGTACTCTGTGACATCCACCATCTGCCATATAAGCATCCACCATATAAACAATTAGACACTAAAAATTTGCAGGCCAGTTTTAGGAATTAGGGACCTTTTGATGCATCTGAACCTCTGTTCAAATGCATTACAATTTATTTATTTATTTATTTTTTCTGGTACCGGGAACCAAACTCACAACCTTGCGCTTGCCAGGTAGGCGCTATGCCGCTGAGCTAAATCCCCAGCCCTGCATTGCAATTTTAAATGTCGAGAGTATTAGAGTTGGTCTGAGTTTAGCTCAATGAAAGGCATGTATGTCTGTTTGGAGAATAAATACTTCTTTCTAGGAGGGTAAATGCTTCTTTCTAGAAGGAAGATCTGGAAAGAAGGGATTTGGTGGTGACCCAGAGAAATTATGATTTGTCAAGTAGGAAAAGAGATACTTGTAGGAGGTGAAGAGAATCTAGAAGTCAGATACAGTACTGTAATGGGATTGATGGTGACTGTGGCTGGACCTGCTTTCTTCTCTGGTGAGGGAGGAAGAACCACACCCACCCATTTTTATGGTAATTCAGCTTTGAAATCTGTTCTGAGCTGGGGATATAGCTCAGTGGCACGGCGCCTTCCTGGCAAGTGCAAGGCCCTAAATTCGATTCCCAGTAAGAAAAAGAAAAAAGAAATCTGTTTTGAGACATTGTTACACTGTGGGGTAGGTCTCTGTTGTGAAAGTTAGCTGTTGTTTTGTCACTTTCATTTTAAATCTATCTAATGGATTCTTATTCTTCCATTTTAAACTGTTAGTATTGCTGTAAAACCAGACTAGTAGTGATACGCTGGCATTTGCAATAACACACTAATTACATAAATTTCCTCTGTTGGTGGCGTTACCGATGTATTACCCTAGAGCTGAGTAATGCTCCTTTCTGCGTAACTTTCTGTGTGGCTGTTTGGAGTGGTGAACCCAGCGGGCAAGTAGTGAGCACTCTTAGTGTGTGCTTAGGTGTTTATTTTAGTCTCTAAGATTGCTCTTACCTTGTCTTACCAGTTGAAGGTATTTCTCATCTTAATTTAAGAGTAGTTATACTTTGATAATTTCTTTTGGAAGTAAAAGGTTGAGGAGCCTGTGTTCTGATTTTGTGCATTGCCATTATGTCTACATGATGTAGGCTTATTAGAGATGATTTAGTTAGCTTTAGGCAATCCTAATGGATTTCCCTGATGGTTAAAAAAATGTTCCTGGAAGAATCTAACTGAATTTTGCAAGTAAACTGGTTGATTTATACTTATTGAGAGAGGAGTTCCAGTGCACCAACTCATATCATCAATTATAATTGCTTTTGAAATGTGATTTTCTCAGTCTTGATTAAAAGGCCTGTAATTGTCTTTTTCTGCTGCTTGGCACATCCTCTACTGCCCTCTGTTGGCTGCCCATCCATAGCATCCATCGAGATCCAGCAGGTCTTGTCCAGCATGGGCCTTTCTTCAGCGTGCAGCACCTTCTGTGGGTGCTGGATCTTTGGGAGGCTGTCCCAGTAGAAAGACAGCTTTGAGGAAACCATGCATTCAGATGGTTGTGATAAATGTTAGGATTCCTAGGTTGTGTGTTTTTGCTTTCTTGCTTTCTGTTTGTTCATTTATCTGTCCATTAATTCATCAGATATTTTGCAGTGCCAAGTATGTCCAGAACCAGCCATTCATTGATCTAATAGGACCTTTTTCCTTCTGCAGTGCTGGACGTTGAACCCAGGGCCTCAGGCATGCTAGGCAAGCACTGTACCATTGAGCTACACTCTTAGTTAGCCCTTATAGGTGCTCAATATAGATTTGTTCAGTTAGTGAAAAATATAAAAGTAAAGAAGACTTGGCTTTTGGAGATAGGATACCACCTTATTTCCCTTTTATTAATTAAGATTTTGGGAAAAATAGAATTAAAAATGGTTACAAATAATAATGGAATCTAGTCTCATTTCTTCTTCTCAGTATTTGTCATCTCCAACTTTAGAAGGTATCTGTTTTAGGTAGAACTTATTTTGCATCTAGAAACGATAATAATTAAACGCTTCAAACCAAAATAAGGTACTTGTTGCCTTTGGTTGATGGTGACACCCAATCATATTTGTACTGACCTTTATGATCCCCAGTCTCCAAGACACTTCATCTGCTGTCATGGCTTTTGTCTCTTATATTTACTAAACTGGGATTTAAAATAGATACTCTTTTAAATGACCAAATATGAAAGATGAGCAGTGCAGTAGTACCTTTTTAGTGTTTTCCCTGTTACACATGCTGTTAATTCCTTAATTCTTATAGCCAAAGTTTCACTGTATAGTTCAGCCTGGCCTTGAACTCACTGGGTATCCTGGGCTGACCTTGAATTAACAGTGATCTTCTTGCTTCAGCCTCCAGAGTGGTAGGATTATGGGTGTACACCATCAGGCCTGGAGCACATATTTTAAGAAATAGTTTTTTTGCCACTTTTCATTAATTTTATATCAGTTAAAATATCACCTATTGGCTTCATTCCTTGTTCGAGAGTATAACCCAGTCACATATGTTTAGGTGGAATGAGCCTTGTGAAAAAATAATAATCTGTATCCTGTTGGAGAAGAAATGAACTGCCACCTATGTTATTTGATGTTGTGTTGTGGAGATTATGGTGCTTGGTTGTATTTTTAAGTTTCGGTTTGTTCTCAACCTGGGAGCTCAGACATGCTAGATAAGTGTCCAGCCACTGAGCCACATGTCCTGCCCTTTTTTATTTTGAGTCAGGGTCTTGCTAAGTTGCCAAGGCTGACCTCAAACTTGAGATCTTTGTGCCTCAGCCCCCTGAGTGGATGGGATTACAGGTGCGCACCACCACACCTAGCTCTTTTTAAAAAATATCTGTGCTATACACTTCAGTCTAAAATAACTTAGGAGAAACTAGTTTTAATTTGAACTATTGGTGCAGTAATCATTATTGTTTATTAGTTATCTCTTTCATGACTACTGAAAAAGATTGATGCAAAGGAGACCGTAGAAGAAGGCAAAGAGATAAAAAGTCATTGTTTTTGTCTTGACTGGCTCATATTTTATCTGTCAATTCATTTGATCTTGGCTCATATGCTGTACTCAAATCTGTATTTTTGATTAAACTGCTTTATCACTTTAAATGTATTCTAAAACAAGTTGCTGTATCAAAACAACAACAACACAGTATTTTGCCATGTTGAGCTGTTTGTGTAAAGTGAAGGAGAGGAGTAAAGCACTCATCTCTAAGGAGACGTGCTAGCATGGAGGTTGCTTAGGATTTTATTTGCCAAAATGAATGTGGTCCAAGACATTGATGTCATTTCCCTGTTTCTCTTTGAGTGTAGTGAGAACTCAAAGGTGAAAAATTAAACTTTGGCATTGACTGGCATAAAACCAGTTACCTGACTTGCAAAGCTCTAGTAGCATAGCTTTTACTCCAGGAGTCATCCACAGCTTTGTTTCTTATGTCTTGTGGGATCCTAGGGATTTCAAATGTCCTCGTCTTTTAGGTGCTATTAATTGAGTTTGACATGGCAAGAGTTAAAATCTCAAGATATTGATGGACATTTTTATTTAAATTAAATGGCAACAAACTAAAAAACACCATGAAGTAATGAGAGATTTGGTGAACTAAACTCTAAATTATAGTTTTGACTTCCAGTCCAGTTAAATTTCTCCATTGACTAAGAGACATCTGATCTAGCTAACTGAACCAGAAAAAGGGTTTACTGAACTTACAGACTTAATGAAAAGGCCAGAGACATAGAACAAAATATAGAAAGGAATTAAAAGCAGTTTGGATTTTGTGCTCTTAACCAGGTATGAAAAGTCTGGCTAGGAAGGTAGTTTTGTTTCTTTTGTTGGAGCATCCTATTGACTGCCTAGATTACACTTGTTTCTAACTTTCAGGGTTTCTGTGAGGTCAGAACTTTTTTTAATAATAATTCTTAGGTATTTGTCCTTCTTACTGTGTTGACATTTGCACTGATGGTGTGAGAGCGTTGGTGGGCTAAAGTGCTGGTGCCTTAGCATGACTCAAGAGCATGGCGTAGCTGTATGTAGATTATCACCCTCTTACTGACATACTTGTGACAATGAATATGTGGGGCTTTTCCTCACACCAATCAGTTCTCCAAATCTCTGGATACCAGCTGTGTTGTCTTACAGTGCAGTTCAGTTCTAGCATGAAGTACCAACAATAGCGTCAAGAGTTTTAAGGGATGTCTGTCTGTTAATATGTTTTTTTCCTGTATTTTTTAAAATTAAAAAAAAAAAAAAAGAGTTTAAGGGCATAATCTTGCAAGACTCTTTTCAGATGCCACTCACAAGTACGTATGGGGTCCCGAGTTATCACACTTCTGTCTGACTCAGCTACAAATCAGGCATTCTCATGGCCCTCAGCCTCCTCAGGTTTGGTAATTCACTGGAGGGGCTCCTGGGCTCAAGACCATACAGTATACTTACTGGGCTGGGGATTTAGCTCAGTGGCAAAAGCGCCTGCCTGGCAAGCACAAGGTGTCCTGAGTTTGATTCCTGGTACCATAAAAAAAACAAAACAAAAAAACCACCCAAAAACAAACATACAGTATACTTACTGTGAAGGACATAATGCAGGAACAGCCAAACAGAAGGGCTACATGGGCAGGGAACAGGGAGGTAACCTGAGAACTCCCAACTCTGTTTAAGGCTTTTTATAGAGGCTTTGTCAGGTAGATGTGATTGATCACATCTTTGGTCCTTGGTGATTTGGCGCTCAACCCCAGAGTTTGGAGCAGGGAGGCTGCAAGTTCCAAACTTCCAATCAGAGTTTGTCTTTCTGGTAGCCACCCTCCTCCTGAAGCCCCACCCTAATTCACTGTTAACAGAAACTCGGGTATGGTAGGAAAGGACTTACTGGGAACAACAAAGGAGGTTCCCATTGTTCAGGAAATTCCAAGGGCTTTGGGGATTCCATGCGCAGAGCCAGAGTCAGAGACCAAATACGTATTTTTAATTCTACTACATATGTAGTCTAGCTGTTTTCATTTCACATGTAGTCCAGAGTTTCACCTTGTTTAATCAGCCAGACATTTCAGAGCTATTTAGTTGATAATCGGATAGTGTGATATGAAAGCTCCCTTGCTGGAGCCAGAGTGCCTGCGTATGAATAACTCCAGCACTTGCTAGTTACATGAATGGGACAACGTATAATTCCCTGAGCTTCGGTTCACTCTGCTGTGAAATAGCAATAATAATAGTGTGTACTTAGGAGTCTTGTGAAGATTAAGTTAATACAAAGAAATCATTTAGAACAATGTATGGCTTGTAGGAAACAGTAAATGTTAATTATCATACACATTATTGTCATCATTATCAAGCTTTAAATCAGGTCCCCAATAAGCTGGTCATAGGAGAAGGGATCCAAGACATGAATCTAGGCATTTTTTGTTTTTTTTTTTAATACCTGGATAATATTCATCGAGTCAGAATATTAATCTGGCAACATGAAGTGCTTTTGGTTTTAGATAAAAGATATAAATGTGAATTTTTCCCTCTTTACTACTAGTTTGTAGGCTTGATAATAAAACAGAATAAAATTACAAATATTTAAGGAATAAAACTTGAAAAGAATGTATCACTTAGTTTACAGAGCTTTCCTTGTAGACAGATATGAATAGTAGATTTTTTATTGTATAAAATAAAATAAAAAAGCTATAAAATTGCCATTGTCTGACAATAATAAGGCTGCATCTTTTTTTTTTAATCTGGAGTTTTTAAAAGAGTCTGTGTCTTTGGCAGGGCAGGGCTGTGGCTTGAGTGTTTGGCTCCAGCTGGTAGGGTGGGGCCTGAAGTGTCTGTTTGCTGAATGAGTAAGACGCCTTTGTATAAAGAGTTTTATTTCGCACTCTGCTGGAAAATTTCAAGAAAGTATGTTTTCACTAAGTGCAATAAAATTTCACAGTGCACTTCAACCCTGCCCCGTGTTGTGTGTGATATGCTGCCAGGAGGAAGGGATAAAATGGGAGGGAAAATACTCTGAGCTAAAAGTAAGTATAAGAGGACAATGTGATTGCACCTTTGGTTTTATTTCTCTGTGTCTGGTACTGGCGATTGAACTAAGGGAGCACTGACCTATGTCTCTTGCCCTTTTTAGTTTTATCTTGAGACGGGGTCTTACTAAGTTGCTCAGGCTGGCAGTCCTCCTGCCTCAGCCTCCTGAGTAGGTGGGATTATATGTGTGTACCACCTCACCAAGCTTGTTTTGTTTTAAAGGTCCTGTTTCACCTCAGAACTTTTTTTAGCAGCACACTGGGTTGGCCAAGTCTCTGAATGCGAGCCATGCCAGACTCCCATTTAAGGGAAACTGTCACTAGCTCCCACTGTGTTAGCACTCCCCTTTTGTATTTAGCCATAACCCCTGTCTACAGCTGAGGACTTGGTTACTATAACGAAGAATAGTAAATTGTGACTTGGCACAAAACAATGAACTGAGCTAATCAGATTTTTCCCTGAAGAATTTAAAACTAAAATGTGAAGAGAAAGAGACAGTTAATAAGGGGTATAAAACTGAAAGCATATTCGGAAGTATTCTTGTTTGAGGGTAAAATGTTACCAGGTTTTATGTGGGAGCAAAAGCACGAGAAATCAGAGAATTCTATTTAGTACCAGAACAGAAAGGAATCGTACTTGAGATTAAGCTGTGTAATTAATAAGGGAAGCAATAAAAAATTGGCTGCATGCTTGATTAATTGATTCATTCAACAAATAATTTGTTGAGTTACAGCTGTGTACTAGGCAATATTCTAGTCCAGGAGCATTACTCTAAAAAACAATTAAGCGAGTGATTTTTCAACTGGCTTTGATTTGCCTTCCAGACATTTGGCAACAAATGGAGACATTTTGGCTGTCAGAAGGCAGAGGGAAAAGTGCTCTTGGTGTTTCCTGAGTAGAGGCCAGGGGTGCTGCTTACACTGCAGCATGCAGGACACCTCCCTACCAAAGAATTACCTGGTTCAAAATGTCAGCAGCTCTCAGGTTGAGAAACCATGGGGATAAACTATCATAAATACATATTTCATGCGGTAATCGTTTTCCTGTAGCTGACATTTAACTTTCTCTGTTTTCAGAAGCGAGGACGCTGACTGGAGTGAAATGGAGGCCTCAGTAATATTACCCATTCTGAAGAAAAAGCTAGCTTTCCTGTCAGGTGTGTTTTCCTCATGGTGCAAGTGTTTGATATGTACACTTGTTTAAATTTCTGTGAGGAGTTTGACACAAATCACTTTATTTTTTCTAAGAGTTTTTAAAGGGTATTTGTTTTAATCAGAAGGGATAGCTGTGTGAGCTAACACTGTTGGTTTGTGGTAGACCAGTTTTTATTGTAGCTTGGTGATTTAATTAAAATAACATCTAGAAGGTAGATGTCATGATTTCTCTTTTTATGTAAAAATTAAGTGCTAGTAATAGACTAATTGGCATCTAAATTATTGTTCTGGAATCGGGAGTAATTTGCTTTTGTTTTGCAGTTTATTTTCTAATTCGCTCTCCTGTCCCTTAGCTCGTGCATTCATCTTCCTATGAGAAAGTCGCAGTGCACTGGCTGAGTTATGAGGTGTCAGCCGCACTGTTTCCGCTGTTTGAAATGGGCCGTGCAGGCTTGAATTTATAAGTCTGTATCGGCTGGGAGATCCTTGCTAGGGTGAAAGTCATGGTTTGGTACATGAATTCCATCCTCTGGACTTCAGATTATTGAGTAAATCTGTACATACTTTGAAGCAAGCACTGTGGCCCTCCCAGCTTAGCATTTTTCAGGGCCATATTATCTTACCTTTTTAAAAATTCTCTTTAGGTTTGGTTATAATTTTCTTGACAAATGTCCCTTCCTCAGAATGTCTTTACATGTTTCTGTTAAATTGGGATGTTTTCCTAGTATAGCTTATAAAGGACAAAGTAAGAAATGAAATTCCACTAGTATTACTTCTTTGTTTAGTATGTTTTTAAAAACTTCTTCTCTTATTAGTATTAATATCAAATTGAGCCCTCTGAGGGCACGATTTATCAATGTTAAAGTCTTTGAATATCTGTAACTTGTATTGCTAACCTAATGAAGGACAGATCATTTCTGGTTGGTGTGTCGTGAGTTGCAGTCACTTCAGTGAGTCTTTTTAACTGAACACTTTTCAGTTTTTAGTGATAAGTTTCTGGAGATGATATGGAATTGTTTCCTTCAGAATTTGCTGTTCTTTAAGCTTCTGAAATGGCTGTAAATGTCAGTTGGGTGGGAAGATAGGCTTCAGTGTGAAAGTCAAGCATGTGGGAGCTTTGAAAAAGGCAATGAGTGAATAGTATTTAAAAGGTACTTTTTAACATTTAAGACAAACTGAAGGGGACTTGAACATACATGAAATGGAAATATGTTCCAGTTCAGGCTTTGAGGCTTCAATTTAGTTCCCAGAGGTTCTTCTGAGCTGGGCATGGCTTTCTTTTTATTGCTTTATGAACAATATATGCCTTTATGACCTTTATCAATGAATGGAGATGATTCTTTATCACAAAATGTTGTTTGACTTGCTTTACAAATTCTACCTGTATTATATGTTTTTTCTATGAAACTTCATAATTTTCACAGCTTTTATCAATTTTTTCATTTTCTAAACCCCCTTTTATAATATCTTAATGTATTTTATATACAAGTTAGCAAATACTTTATGTTTATACTGTTATTTTCTGTGACTTAAAGCTTTTCTTGCTAGGTGGAAATTTGTTTTACTTGAAAATGCTTATTGTGGTAAGCACATAACAGGTGTTTGATGAGTTGATTACACTGAGAAGCAGACTAACTGGGAGTAAATTAGAATGACAACTGCTGTATTAAATGATTCAGGGGTGAGTTTTTTTCTGTCTATAATTTTGCTGTATTACTGGAAATATTCATAAACAACAAATAGCCATTAGCTGTTTTTTCAAATTATGTCTTAAACGTGTCATTGTTTTAATAACTTTGGATTCAAGTGTATATTATTCATATATACTTAATGTATATATGTCTTAATGTTTATGTTAAACTTATTTTATAGGAGGAAAGGACAGACGAAGTGGCCTCATTCTGACAATTCCATTATGCCTCGAACAAACAAGTATGGATGAATTGAGTGTCACTTTGGATTATCTCCTCAGCATTCCAAGGTGACTCTAACGGTGTTTTTTCTTAAATACCAATGTTTTTAGTGGGCTAGTTGTTCCTGATGTTGTTAAAGTATACTTTGCTATCTTACCTGCTTTTACTAGCTGTGAAATTATCATTAGAATGCTAGAAATTAATAATTTATGACAACACTGCAGATAAAACATTTATTATATGTTCACAATATACAGCTTTATAAAATGAATGCAGTTTCAACTTTTCAGAAACATGTCTGTCTGTGTGGAACTTGAGAAAAATTAGAGCAGTGAATTGTTTTAGATCACTGTTTCACTGTATTGATATAAATACATCTACTGTTTCTAATTGAATAAAAGCTTAGGTTTCAAATGGTTTTATTTTAAAATACAGAAAAGTTTGTGTTTTAATTCATAGGATTTTAATTTTCTAATTTTCATAGTTGCTGAGTGAATCATAAAAAGCCTTTCTGTTTACTCAAATCTACCCACTTGAACAACACAAAAACAAACTGCCCAACTTCCTCTCTCATAACTGGTACTTACAGGGTCTAATTGTAACTACATGTTAGAATCATCTGGATTTTTTTAGTTATAATTTTCAGATTCTATGCCCAGGCGATCTTCTTCTAGAAATTCCAATTCACATCTGTTCAGCACAATTTTCTTTAATCCTTTAAGCTTCCCATATAATTCTAACATGCAGCCAGATTTGCAAAACACTGCCATAAAGCCTAAGAATGAGGACAGGTTTGTGTGTGTATGTGTGTGTTAAAAGGTAGTGGTGGGAAGAGAAGCCATTCTCTTACATAATGCTCTAAAGCTCTACAGTGAATGTAAGACATTTTACCTAGAGTTGACATTCTTTTCCCCCCTTCCTCTATTTGCATTTTATTGATATAATAGTTTATTTCATTTTAAACCACTTTGCAGAGCACAGTGTTAAAACTGTATTTGTGAAAAGCTGATTTTAATCAAGCTTCCATTATTGAGCTATAATTTAACAATTATTTTGGTCATTATCTTTCAGTATTGGGGGTATAAAGCTTTTAAAATGAAGCTTTTCTTCTTTCTTCTTTCTTCTCTTCTCTCCCGGTCCTCCTCCCCTCTCTCCTCCTCCTCCTCCGTCTGGACAGGAAAATCACTGGATTCGAGTCACCATTAATTTTTGAATAACCTTCCTAATCCTCTGAGCTGCTGATTGCTAATTTAGATTGCAAATTATTTTTTAGGTAACAGAAACTAGTCACACTTAATAGCTAACAAATAGTGAAAACAGTATTCATAGATGGATTCATGGAAGGTTAAATGTTGCAAGGAACTTGCACACCATGTGAACCAACTTTCTGATTTTATACTTGAGGGAATGACCCTAATTTGGAGGTCAGGGTTATTTGTCCAGGACAGTGATGTTGAACCTATGGCACACATGCCCCAGCAGACTGTTGGTATCATTGAAAGCTCTAAAAGATTCTCTATCACTCATCTGGAACTTGCATAGGAATAGAGTACAGTGTAGTTTTGTATCTGGCATCCAGTGATATGAAAAAGTTACTTGTAGTCAGAATTACTATTGAAAATTGCCTCAGCAGGATTAGAGACCTACATACTATCTTTCCATGAACATGTTGGGTTTTTATGCAGGATTGGGACATGAGTTCCAGAAGACACAGTTTGCCTGTGATTAAGTTGTTAAAAAAAAAATGCATGCGCACTATGGTCGTGTTCAGTCCAACAGGGTGTGCACGGCCCGTGAGAGGCATTGGGGCGCAACAGCAGACTTGGGATCCGCTCCACGCATGCCTTCTTACTCATGTTTACTCTGCTGTAGAAACAGGAAGGGCAGTAGGAGGTAAAATAGTCTACACTATTTAAATTTTCTCTGTCCCTCTTTCATTAGGAATTTAATCATCATGTGCTTAAGGATAATTCTTGAATTTTTACATATATTACTTCGCACTTTTTTTAGATTTCAGATATGTATGTTGTTTCCCTAGTAATATCAAGTAAGGTAATAACCTGTGACTATGAAAGACTCCCATTAAAATGCTTTTCTCTTTACTTTTCCACTTTCTGAAAATATCATAAGCTCCTGGAGGGAAGAAACTAATCTTAGACATTGTAATTTTTTGCCCAGTGTGGTAACTCATACTTGTTAGTGATCAGTAGTCACTGGACATGGATTTTTGCCCTTGGTTTTAATGCTTCAGTTTTGTCAGCACTCTATGCATTTAAATGTGTGCTCACGGGGCTTAGAACAGGGTCATTCTTAGAGCTTCTCTTATTTGTTAGAAACACAAATGAACATGTAGAAGTTGTCAGCTCAGTAGAAGTTGTTTGATAATAATAAATTTGTCTGGGTTGCTCTTACCTTCCTTTTAGAACTTTAAATTCATAATAGACCTTGAGCTTTACTCATGGATAGTGATTAGGAACCACATTCAAATGTAGTATTGCAAAAAAAATCTTGAAAATCTTTTTATTCATTTCAGAATTTTCTTCTAACTGTATATTAAGCATTGTTTAAAAGCATAGTATTTTTCAAAAAGGGAAGTTATTATCATCCAGTTAGGGAATCATAGAATGTCACAGTTAGAAAGTACCTTATCAATCATCCATTCCAGCCACTTAAATGGTTTTTATAGACATGCTGCTAAGTATGTGCCCAGATTATTCTTGAGAGAAATTCAACATCTTTTGAAGCTACCTTTTCACTTTTCCCAAGATCTGGGTTTTTAAAATTCAAGTTTTTATTTTATTTTATTTTTTAATTTTAAAGAGAATAAAAAAAAACAACAAAATAACACCAACATAGACAAAAATAAAACAAAGGAAAAGCAATAAAAATGATACAGGGTTTCAAAACAAAATGATAAGAATTAACAGTGGTTGTTGTATTACATATTGTTATCTTCAACAAAGTTGCTCCGATTACCAGATGTAAAGATGCAAGATTGCTCAAATCATTAAAGAGAATAAAAAATAATAATAAAAAACCCATTAGAAACGATACAGAGCTTCACTAAACAAGATGGTAGGAATTCAACAATGGTTGTTATATTGCATATTGTTGTCTTCAAATTAGTGGTTCAGATTACCAGATGTAAGCATGCAAAATTGGTCAAAAACAATTTAAGCATTGGCTGTTCCTTTCAATAAACCCTTAGACATCAGCAGTTCAGTTATCCCAGCTCTCCTTGTATGTACAAATTTTCATTTTAAATCATTTTTTGTAATTGTAGAAAAGACTTGTTTCTGTTACAGAAGAAACAGAAGGAACCCTTAACATTTTACCCCTGGTGTCACTTGGGCAGCACATTGTTTACATACTGACTGTCCGAATGCTCGGCAGGTGTCATTTGTACTAGTTGATTCTTGTTTTCTCAAGATATATTTGGATGTCTGTTTATTAGTTTTACATTGAATTTTTTTGCATGCTTTTTATTTAGAATGTATTTGCCTTTGATGTTTGTGTACTGAAGTTAAAAGTAAGTTCTAGTTTTTTTTTTTACTAATTTTTGTTTATTTGTGGAAAATAACCTATAATTTTGTGCTATATAGTCTATGAAAACTCTTACAATAAGCACATTAGATATAAATTTTATACTTCTCCAGAACTCAGTGATACTCTTTTACAATACAAAACAAACATGTTTGGGACACTGAGACTGAATAGGAAGGAAGTGCCAGAAGATCTGCAGAAGAACTGACAAAGGGAGAAGTGTTAACATATCAGAGAGGAAAGGTCTGTGTTATGAAATGCAAAGACAAATATTATTGTCAACTAGTCATAATACAGAAATTATGGAACTTGAAAAAAGAAATGAAGCTAAAAAATTTCCAGTAGTGATCAGTGATTATAAAAATCCTATGGGTGGGGTTGACAGAGTTGATTAACATCTAATAAGCTATTTTATAATCAAAGAAGGAGGAAAACAGTATTATAAAATATTTATGCACCTTCTGGATCAGGCAATATGGAACTCATTTGTTATTTATTCAAAACAAGGGAGTTTAATAAGTCATTTACAAACCTGGGTGTGGTGGCACATACCTGTAATCCTAGCACTTGGGAAGGTGAGGCAGGAGCATTGCCATGAGTTTGAGGCCAGTGAGGGCTACATAAGCAAGTTAAAGGCCAGCCTGCACTACATAGTGAGACCGTGACTCCAAAACAAAACAAAACAAAACAAAACAAAACAATAACATCAATTTTTAAAAAATTATTTACAATTTAGATTAGGTCTCATAGACAGAATAATTGAAAAAAAGGAGATAGTGAAATGTCGACTAGGACATCCATCATTGACGTCTTCACCATTGCATTTAGTGGGGAGACATTTTATTGAAATACCACCCACAGAAAAAAAGGAAAGGCCAGCACAGCAGTGTTAAGTGTGTTGTTCAAAGAAAGACAATAATACAAAAAGAATTCAGAAAGAAACTGGATACCACTGTCCAAATTGTAACCTTGTGTTGTATGTTGAATGTTTTGAAATATACCATACACAGAAAAATGATTGAATAAATTTGATAAAATTGTCATTTTCATACTTGCTGTTGTAAAATTAACAAAAAATTCAGTTTTTAGTCACCCTGTATTTAAATAACTGGTCTGGTAGGTGGTTAATGACTTGGCACGTAGCTAATGATTTCAGTTGTTCAGTAAATACGTGAGTGCCTACACGGAGCTTGGCTGCAGGAGCTTCTCATGTTCTAGGTGCTGAGCAAATGGGTGAGCAAGGCAGACATGACCAGAAAACACTCTGATGGTCAGAGAAACATCACAAGCATGTGGAATATTCTCGGTTTATAAAACCAAACATGAAGAGTCAGGGCAGTGATGGAGTGTGTGTGTGCGGTGATAGTTTACCAAATGATAAGGTAGCATTTTACCCCAGATGTACAAATACCTTTGAAAGCATGTTAGAGAGAGTTGTTAAGTGCAAAGGCTCTGAGGCAGGAGCAAGTTTGGCATGCTGTAGAAACAGTGAGAAGGCTGGTGTGGTTCCAGCAGTTTGAGACGGTGGTTACAAGGAGGCTGCGATCAGTCACAGATGACCAGGTAGGCAGTGGTGAGGGCTTCAGTTCTGTATGAGAAGGAAAAGCATTGTGTTCCAGCTCAGGAGTGATGGGATATGTGTCATCTCACATTTTAAAAGTCCCTCTGAATTTAAAGTACTGCGCTAGAAACTGCCAAGATACTAATAAGATAATGTTGTTATGGCCTAGTGAAGGTGAACTATAAACAAATAATTACATTAACAGCATGAGTAAAGTACATTAGTACATTATATAAGTACAAACAGAACTCTGTGAATGGAAGAGAAGGGGTCCTTAGTTTTGATCAGAGAACAAGTGAAGAGCAGCAGGATGCTGACCGACCCCAGGAGATCCCTCAAGATTCCCTGTGTCAGAAGTAAGCGAGCTTATTAAGTAGCCTCACTTCTTTTACAGAGCTGTCTTGACTCAGCTGTGTTACCTTTGAAAGGCTATATTTGAGTAGACACAGGAGACAGGATCCTAGATTTTTTTTCTGTGCTGCTTTAAAAATAGTTTCAGGGGCCAGGGATTTAGCTCAGTGGCACAGCGCCTGCCTGGCAAGCACGACGTCGTGAGTTTGATTCCCAGTACTGGGAAAAAAAAAAAAAAGTTTCAAACATTAGTACTATGAGGATTTATTAATAACAGCATTTTAGGTCTTCCCACATGCCTTCTATAAAGGGATAAAGGCACAACATGCTTCTGAATGAAATATGCTGTTTTTAAAAGCAGTTTAAATCACTGTTCCACTTGTAGGAATGAAGTTAAAAAATGCTATTTCCTGTCATGTATTTGAAAGACCAAGTATTCTTTTTTTATTTTGAAATATTGTGAGTTGTATATATTTTTATTTTCTTAGTAAAATGTGAGAAAATTGTGATTAAGGGTGCTTTCAGTACTCTCAAAGATAAATGTGTTTTATTGCATTGAGATCATTACAGAAGGTATTTGCAAGCTTCATTACTTTCTTAGTTGAAATATACAGATTAATTTATAGTATGCATTGAAATGTGTAGTTTTGTAAAATTTATTTAACAAGGTAGATGTGCAATTTGCATCTCAGAGATACAGATGCTGACGACAAGAATATACTACATGTGGGAATGGCACCCTCTTGGTGGAAAGGCCCTCTATCAGGTAGCTGTGTGTCTTGGCTGTGATGCCTGCAGACTCCTGTGATGCACTGGGAGAAGTCTCTGAGTTGTTTCCTCTTGTCTAGATACCATGCTCATAGTGGTCTTCCTATGTGTCTTCTGCAGAAATCTTGGGCTTTTCTCCTTACCTGAGCCCACAACTGAGCAAGTGTGAGACTTGCCCTCCTTCACACATGAACATTTTCGTACGCCTGTTGCAAATCTGGAAGTGAACATTGTATTGCTTTACCTTTTTCTTCCCTGAAAAATACTTGCTGGATCCTTGTTTTATAATGCAGATACATAAAGAGAGTACTTAAAATTTTTTTAAAATGAGATTTAATTCATGCAGCATAATAATTCACTCCTAATAAGAGATACAATTCAGTGGTTTTTGATACATATCCCACATACCATGCTAATTCCAGGTAACTTTCATCATCCAGGATAATCTCCGTACCCATTAACAGTCGCTTCCCACTTCCTCTCCCCACCAGCCATTGCCAGCCACTTACGTGCCTTCCATCTGTGTGGATTTGCCTGCTATGGACATTTTATACGAGTGGAATCATATAATATGGACCTTTTGTGTCTGGCTTCTTTTATTTAGCATAATGTTTTCAAGGTTCATTTATATTGTGATGTGTCAGTTCTTCATTTTTGTGGCTGAATAATATTTTGTTTATATTTCTGTGAATCACTTGATGGCCATTTTTTTTATTTCTACTTTTTGACTATTGTGAATTACACTGCTGAGCATTTACATGCAATTTTTATGAGGATATGTATTCCACTGCCTCACTTCTTGAATACTTCTCTGTTTACTTTGGAAGATCAGCCTCTGTCCCTGCCTTGAGAGAGCCTGTTCCTCTTCAGATTGTTAGTGTATCATCCTCATTCTGTGGTTTTACTGTTTCTCAGTAGAAATAGATATGCATTACTTCACAAGAACCCTACTGGGACTCATACGAATGCTTAGAGGGCATAGAGGAGGACCAGTAAAATCTCCTAGACTTTGGACTTAAATCCCAGAAGAGTTCTGCTATTTGCCTTTCCTATAATGCATGGAACTGCAAGAACTTCGGGTGGGGCCAGCTTCCACTGTTGTATCTTTGCTCTGCTAAGCAGGCTGCAGTTCCTTTCTTTATATTAGAGAAAGGATATATTGGTCAATTAAGATCCTTGGGTTAAGTTAATAAGGGAAGTAGTAACAACAGTAGTATAAGTATATAGTTTCATTTTCATTTTCATAGTGGAATTTTCTATATATATGTTACATTTTACTAGGGTAGACTTCTGGGGTTTATTTAATAAATACTTTAATAATTGAATATGATACAACAATAACACATTTTCTAACACACAGGATCACATTTTGCTGGTTGAGTGACTAAAAATGAGAGAGTAGAGTTGGGTGAGACATGATGTATTCAAATTTGCAGTCACTTTGGAGAGGAAGTGCTACCTTACCTCATTACATTTTCTCAAAAGAGCACCGAGAAGCTAGCTCCTGGTAGTTTAGTAATCGTTCACTGCTGGGGATGGTGGCATGTACTTGAAACCTTAGCACTCGGGAGGTGAAGGCGGGAGGATCAAGAGCTGGGTGTCATCCTGGGCTACACAGTGAAACCCTGTTTTAAAAAAAAAATTGTTATTTTCTCCCTTTTCAAAACTACCACTTCATAAATCTTGTATGTCTGGTAGGAAGGAGAGACAGGAAGTACATAAGGCATTTGGCGGTCATTAGTTACCCACCTTACTCTGATCCATTTACACATGAAGAAATTGAGAGGCTGGTGGGACCACTCAAATGTTGCCTTGGTTTCATTGCTTTTTAAGACATTAAGTTTCCGTGCTGTTAAAATATTAGCTTGTGAATTTATACTTCTTGAAAAAAGTAAATAGCTTCAGAAAACTGAAAGAATACTCTGAAGAGTTTTACTTAATGCTAATTTAGACCAAACTAAGTGATGTGAATTCTATTCCATAATTATGAAGCCTTTCACCTTCTTTACTTAGAATTATGAAATCCAGTGTTTGTTCTAATATTTTATAATTTTGTTTTGTTTCAGTGAAAAGTGTAAAGCTAGAGGATTTACTGTGATTGTGGATGGCAGAAAATCACAATGGAATGTGGTGAAAACAGTAGTCTTAATGCTACAGGTAATTTTTTTTTTTTTTTTTTTTTTGGTCAGGAGGAATTGGCTTTTATTTTACAGCAACAGATCATGATAAAAATGCATTTTATTTATTGGACTATTGGGCCTGGATATTTCAGTAGTAACTGAGTTGTGAAAATGCACATACAACTATTGGATTACTTAAGTTTAATTACATGTTTTGTATATTTGAATTTATGTAGTAAAGTAAATCTCAGCTCCCTTGTAAAGGTTTGTAAAAGACTGAAAAGAATACGCCATGTTGAAGTAATCTAAGCAAGGAGACCAGTGGCTCTTGACGTGTGCAGGTACACCTCTGCAGACACACTGGGAGCTCTGCATGCTGTGTGTCTGCGTCATGCTGCCTGGTGCTCCGTTCTGTACAGTAGGCAGGAAGAAGACCTAGGTAGGCCAAGTTGAAGGCTTCTCAAGTGGTTCTGGTATGTCTTTCCATTCTGGTCCCCTCTTTTTCTCCAAATACATCACAATTCATGATGATTGTACTATTTATGGATAGCCCAGAAGAAGCATACTCAGTAGCTATGATCTCAGAGGTTTAGTAGATTACAAGTTAGCATGTAATACACATCTACAAGGAGAGGGAGGGGAAGAGGACATCAAAAGTTATGAGAAGCAGTTGGAAGCTGCTTTAGGGTTCTGTGGAAAGGAATATAATTTAAAAATTAAAGTTATAACTAAGGAGAATGAATCTTAATGTTTTATTTTCTTAAGATAGTTGGGAGAAGAGATTTCAGGGTGGAAACAAAGGATCATAATTTTTAGTTTTAGGTCCAGTCTTAATATGGTACTGTGCTGAGCTTGTTACAGAAATTATCTTTGCTTTAATTTTAGCCTCACTGCCTCATAGAGCAGGATACGTTATCTCTAAAGGTCAGCTGAAGTGCAAGGTTTTATGTAAACCTAAGGACCATCCTTTGGCGTTACCCATTGTCAAGTGTGTTTATCCACAGCATGTACCCCGCTGGTCCCCAGATTTTCAGCTGTTGCCTTATTCTTTATAAGTGTTTGACCTCAGCTTTTTGTCAGTAGGATCACTCTGTTGGGTTAGAAAGGCATATCCATAGAGTTAGTTTTTAAGGGAGCACAGATTGATATCCCATAATATTTTTTCTGCCAAGTAGGTTTCTGGCACTTCTGTATCCCAAATCCTAAAGATGAACTCTTCTCTGTGAAAGTTGTTAAAATAACTCTTAGGTGAGAAATCCATTAATTATGATCTTGTGTTCTTCCTTTCATCCTGTCATTCAACTGTGTCACAGATGAGCTGTTTGGGACTTGCTGTTTGAACTGGACTTTGGCAGTTTTGAAGAACAATCAATGGATTTAATTCCTTCTTGCGATTTCTTTTCTGATAGGTATTTTAACAACTTTTGGATTTATTAATAGTTAACCGTTTCAGAAGTTGCAATGACCTGTTGTTTACTCCTAGTCATATTATTTCTACTTGTGAGCCATTCATTGCTTTTATCTCCAGAGACCCTGGTGCCAAATATTTGGGAGGCCAGACCTTGATGCTGGCTCTACCTATAACTTTAAGAAGCAGTTTCTCTTGTTTCTCTTAGAGTTCATGTCAGAGATTCTGAAATAATAAACTTCCAATGGTCAGTATATGAATAAACTTCAAATCTACCCTAAATTTTGTAGACTGACAAAAAGTTCAACATTACCACATTTCTTTTGCTTACTTTGTGCTTAGTCACACCCTAATCATTGTGGGGAGTGCTAGATTTCTGAGCTCAATGACATGTTCACATTGAAAGATTTTATATTTTCTCAATGATTATTATTATTGTTATTTAGTGCTGCCCTTTACAGTCCAAAGTAGTGGCTGGATTCTTGAGTTGAAATAACCCTTTATTGGAACTCAGTCACACCCATCATTTACTTAGCATTCATAGCTGCTTTCATTCTACCTCAAAAGAACTGGATAGTTGTGACAGAGACTGTTGGTCTGCAAAACCTAAAATATCTTTTGTCTGGACCTTTGTGAAATAACTTACTGACTCCTGACTTACAGCATATAAATGGTGTAGTAGAACTTCAGAATCAGACAGACCTAGATTCTATTCTAGCTGTATTACTTTTTAACTTAGGATACCTTAGTTCTCTGAAGCTAAAATTACTCTGCTGTAAATTTTGAGAATGAGATGCACTTGTTAATGAGATTTCACTTTTTCAACAAATATTTGTAGGGTATCTTTGCATGACAGACAGTGGAAATATAGGGTGACCTAATAGGTATGAACCTGCAAGGGGCAAGCTTATATGCTATTTGAGGAGTCAGACAGTGAGCTGCTAAGAAAAGTAATGAATACTGTAACATCAGCTAGCACTGAATGTCAGGAAGAATACAGGAGTAAAAGGAGACTTATGACACTCTCTTCAGATAGAGTGGACATGGAAGGACTCTGTGAGAAGGGAATTTTGAATAGAATCTTCAATAACTGAGGGAGTACTCTTAGTATAGGGCAGAAAAACTCCCTTCAGAGGAAGTAGCACTTGGCATAGTCTTGAGGTGGGAACAGACTTAAATTCCAAGAACAAGGAAGGTCAGCATCCAAGTAGCAGTAGAGGGGAGGAAAAAGGGAGAGAGGTGTAAGGTCAGGTGTGACAGGCCTGTAGGGACTGACCTTGGTGGGCCTCGGGCCTGAGTAAAGGATTTGAATTTCATTCCTAGATAAGAGAGTGTTAACCAGGCAGACTTGTTAGGGGAACATATTTGAGTTTGGGGGTATTATCAGTAGGGGGTAGAAATGGTTAGATTTAAGATATATTTCTATGTTAGAATCTATAGGACTTCCTGATAAAACACCTTGGTTCAGAAAGGCTTTTATTTGTGAACGGTTTGGTCCGCAAACAGAAGCATTTGGCAACATTTTGTTTTTGCTTGGGAAGCCTGCACTGGGTGATGAACACAAATGTGGACATATTTTCTAGAATTGTGGAACAAATTAAGCTTGTGAACTAAGGCACCAGTGTACTTATTAAGTCGATAAATGTTAATTTTCATTCTTCTTTAGGTAATATGAATAGCCATATCTAGTAAATGTGAAATTGTATTCTGTCAAAGAATAGCTTTTTGTCCTCTTCAAATTAATAAGCACAGAATCTTATCTTCTTTGTATAATGGCTGATACATTTTATAAGAAAATTGATTTTACATTTTCTGAAGTTCTGCAGGTGATCATGTAAGAAAAGTTTTTTGTATCACAGAAAAGTTTAATAATTTTAATAATTTATCAGCTAAAATTAAGTCTTGAAGCTTAATCTAAATATACTCCTAGTATATAGATTGAATGGGACAAAAATAATTCATGTGTACTATCTATCTTAACATTGTTTGAGATCCTTTCTGAATACCTTGTCTTTCACATCTTTATTGCCATTTATGTTTTAAAGTCTGGAGAATTTCTTCTACTTTATTATTTTCTTTTCCAAAGTCTTTTACTTAGCATAAGGGTTAATACCTAGTAATTTGTAATTTAGTAAATTATTCATTTTACACATGTAATTTTTTTTTCTTTTTCTTTCTTTTTATATTTTACAGAATGTTGTTCCAGCCGAAGTGTCCCTTGTTTGTGTAGTGAAGCCAGATGAGTTCTGGGATAAGAAAGTGACACATTTTTGTTTTTGGAAAGAAAAGGATAGACTTGGCTTTGAGGTAAATATAATCTATTAAAAAACAAAAGAAGCTTGCTTTACCTTTTAAAGTAGTATTTTCCTGGTATTCTTCTGTTCAGATTGGTCCTAAGGAGTACTCGGTTAGTATACTTGTTGAATAAATTGTGATTCTTTGTCAGAGACTACAAGAGCTTTATTTTCTTTCATACTGTATCACTGATTAACTCCTTTGAGTAACTGGAACCTTTTTATTTAAATAATTTCACTGGATTACTAAGAGGAAATTTAATGAATATTAGGAAATCCTAGATATTTTAGAATCGAAGTGAGAGTCTGTCTTCTTTAATAGGTCCCAACTATTGGTTTGATTTTGATATATGAATACAATTATCTGTTCTTTTTCACCAGCATTACGCTCTTTTCCTCACTTTTCTTGTGTAAAAGTGTATCTTATTGCAGGTTAGACAGAAACCCTAAGATAGAATGCAAATTTAAACAATTTTGTCATGGTTTTCCTAACACAGTCTGTTAAGTTCCCAGTAGAAGAGTTAATAAATAGCAAATTTTGCATTTCTTAAATAAAATAGAAACTCTGACAAGGCACAAGGTCTAACCCCAACTGTGTAGATAGTGTATGGATTCTTGGAATACTTATAAGAGTCAGACAATGAAGATTCATTTTGTACCTTGCCATGCTATAATCATGTTCATTTTAATAGAATTCAGTGCTATATCAGTATTTTTTTGGTATGGAGGCAAGTTTGTATTATTTTGGTATGGAGGCAGTATGTATTAGATAGAAAGATTTAAGAAAGCATCATCTATCCTTAAGTGAGATGGGTTGAAGTGTCTTAAAAATACTGACTTTTTTAACTAAAAAAAAAATTAAGGGACAATTTACATACAGTGAAAATTGTCCATGTTAGTGTACAGTTCTGAGTGTTCTGATCATAGTTACAAAGTTACTGCCGTAATGAAGAAGTCTGGCAATGCTCCATACCCCTAGATGCTCCTCTTCTTCTGTAGTCAACTTCTCCATCAAGCGCTGATCGGCCTCGTGTCCTAATAGGTCTGCCTTTTCCAGAATGTCATAAGTAGACTGACATCCATATTGTTGCATGTATTGGTAGTTTTATTCTTTCCATTGTTTACTAGTACTATTCCATTATATAGATGTTATCAGTTTATTCCCTAGCTGAGGTACATTATGGCTTGTTTTCATTTACTCATAATTACAAAAAGCCAGTATGAATATGTGTGGGTTTTGGTATGAAATACCAAATAAATTTTTATTTGAAAAGTGAAATATTTAGAAGTAAGACTGTTAGGTTATATAGAAAGTGTATGTTTATGTAGCTGTATCATTTTTTTTCTTTCCCACCAGCTATGCATGGAAGTTCCACTTGCATCTTTGTCAGCACTTCAGGATTGTTAGGGTTTTTTTTTTGTTGTTGTTGTTGTTATTGTTTGTTTATTTTAATTATAGCTGTTTAGTGACTGTGTGGCCATTTCTCATTGTGGCCTTAATTTGCATTTTCTAATGAATATTGATGTATCTTTCAAGTGTGTACTTGGCATCATATACCTTCTTTGGTAGTAAAGGAAAACAGTGTTTTTGTACTCAAAGGGCTTCTAATACCAGATCTGTGGGGTTTTCACCTCCACACCAGCCTTGGCACTACCTGGTATCCTGTCATTTTATTCAGTTTTGACATTACCCAGAGGTAGCAAGGTCTCAAAAGTTAAGGGCTCAGTCCTATTAACACACCCCCCCATTTCGGTTTTCATGCACAACTTTTGAATGCCTGGGGTACTCACACTTTGTTTGACCTGGCTACAAACTAGGGGTTTCCACAATCCCCTCCGAAGATCCAGTAATTTGCCACGATGGCTCACAGAACTTAGGGAAACACTTGCTTACATTCACCAGTTAATTATAAAGGATATTATAAAGGCTATAGATAACCACAGAAGGATATATAGGTCGAAGTCTTTAAGGATCTTGAGCCTTTGTTGGCAAGGAATTGGGGTGTACCACCTCCCTGGCATATGAGTATCCAACAACCCAGAAGCTCTCCACACCCTGAATTTGAGGAGTTTTTGAGCACTCAGCGCTCAGCCTTTCTTTGTTCCGCTGAGGTAAGGAAATGGGCCTGAGAGTTCCAGCCCTGTAGTTGTGATTTTATCTTTTTGGTCACTTACCCTTCTATCCGCATCTTCTAGGGGCTCCTGCCCAGCAGTCATTCATTAGTGTACACACCTCACTTTGGACATGCCAAGGGTCTTACAAGCTCGTGTGTCAGGGTCCAGGGACTGAGCCTACATATAAGATAAGTTGGCTCCTGTTACCCAGAAAAGTGTAAGGGTTTCAGGAGTTCTGTGCCAGGAACCAAGGCAGGATGAAGAGCAAATAAGTATTTCTTGTATCACAGTATCACTACTGGGGTCTATTTAGATCTTTTGCCCTTAAAAAAAACCTTTTGTCTTCTTGTTTTTGTTTTTGTTTTTGTTTTTGTTTTTTTTTTCCTTTCTTTTCTTGGCGGTATCAGAGATCGAACTCAGGACCTTGTGCTTGCCAGGCAGGCATTTGTGCCACTGAGCTGTCTCCTCAGCCCCTCAGTTTTTTTTGTTTTTGAATTTTGAAAGAGCTTTATGTAATCTGAATATAAGTCACTTATGGAATACATGATTTATAGATGTTATGTCCCAGGTGTTTTTTGCCTTTTCATTCTCTTAATAGTTCTTTTCCTAAATTTTTGAGCTTGATGAAGTTTTGTTTTTCAGTTTTTCTTTTATGAATCATACCTGATTTGGGTGTTATGTCTGAGAAATCTTTGCTGAACCTAAAGTCAAAAAAGACTTTTCTCTTGTTTTATTCTAGAAGTTGCATAATTTAGATTTTAAATTTAGGTCTGTGACCCATTTTGAGTTTATGTTTTTGTAAGCTATGGTTTGAAAACATAAGTTTTATGATTTCAGCCATTTAAAGTTTGATAAGGTTTGTTTTTTTACCCAGTATATGACCTGTCTTGGTGAATTCCTTGTGCACTTAACAAAAGTACGTGTTCTGCTGTTGTTGGGTATAGTTCGATCACTGTCAAGATGATTCCTGGTGGTATTTAGGTCTTCTGTATCCTGTGTCCAGTGGTAATATTCTGTCCATTTGTTCTTTTGGTTATTTAATAGGGATTTTACAGTCTCCAACTTTTCTTACAGATTTATTTCTCCTCTCATTTCTGTCAAGTTTTTATTTCAGAATTTTGAAGCTCTATCATTCAGTGCATAAAGATTTAAGATTGGTTCATCTTATCTATTATTTTTATTAAGTGAGTTTCTAATACTGTATAGTTTGGCTTTGCTTTTATATCGCATTTGACAGTTTGTCTTTTCCTGGGGGTGTAAGGCTATTTACTTTTAATGTAATTTTTGATATTATTATATTAAGCTCTACCATCTTGCTTGATTTTATGTAAGTTTTTGAATTAGCTGCCTTTTGAATTAAGTATTTTTATGATTACATCTTATTTCCATTATTGGCTTTTAATATGTTAATTTTTGATGGTTGCTTTAGGGTTCGTACAATACATATATATCTTTAATCAGACTCTTACCTACAAATAATATTCTACTTCACATGTGGCGGAAGGGCCTTAAAGTCTAATATATAGAGAAAGATGTACATAAGTTATATGCAAATACAATGCCATTGTATATGTGGGACTTGAGTATCTGTAGGTTTTGTTACCTGAGGCAGAACTGTGTGTCCAGAAACCGCTGCAGTAGGGCTGAGTTTAGTTACTATCTCTGCTGAACTCTCTGTTCTTGTATGATTGTCTTGCAGTATTTATGTTACAGTAAATTTCGTACCTAGTAGTTCCAGTATCTGGACCATCTTACTCTGGTTATATTATTTCTGTGGTTCTTAATGTTGGGTTGTTTACTTACTTGCTTTTATGAGTACCTTGTTATTTTGTTGTTTCGCTTTGATTGCTGGATATCTTCTCTAGGACAGTAAAGACTGAGGTAGGTAGTATTTGTGTGTTTTGCTAGGCTTGTAGCAGTGGAGGGGAAGTGTTGAGCATTCTAGCCAGGACCTGAGTTCAATTTGGGCTTTTTGTTGTTGTTGCTGATTTCGTTCAGGCACCACAGGCCTTCACATTTCTCTTACCTTTTTTGAGCAGTGTTAGAGATTTCTGCATGCTGAGTAGAAAGTCCTCCACCCTTACTCCTTTATTTTGTAACTTTGTTGCTGGTCCACTTGACTACCAGGTTGACTTAGGAGGAGGGAGTACCAGCAGTGTAAGGGAAGGTGGCCGGTAATCAGTAGGAAGAGAATGTGTTCCCTGACTGGGTAGTGGTAAGCTGCACTCCAAGGACAAAGAAAAGAAAGTAAAAACTGAAGCCAGGAGGCCTGAAGGTTGCCTCAGGAGTCAGGACCATGGAGAGAGAGCACTGCAGCCAGGCAGTGAGGTCTCAGAGTTCTTGGCCAAGGATAGGAAGGAACTGTTCCACTGAGAGAATGGAAGTAAACAGGGGCCAATAGTTTAGAAACCAAAGCCATGAACACCGAATAGGGAGATGTCTTTTCTGAGGCTCCTCCCCACCGCACTTTAAGCATAAGCATTGACTCAGGAATGTGATGCCTAGCTGGGCCTTATGCTGTATAAATTAATAGTGGCTAAGAACCACTATTAATTAATAGGGGCTAAGAACCTTGTATTGGGGCTGGGGATTTAGCTCAGCAGCACAATGCCTGCCTGGCAAGTGCAAAGTCGTGAGTTTGATTCCTGGTACCGGAAAAAATACAAAAACAAACAAATAAAAAAAGAACCTTGTATCTTAGGGTAAGACAGAAGGCAGAATTCCTATCTGCCTTACTCTGATGTCACAGATTGTTATTTTAAAGTGCAAGAATTAAAGTTTCTTGTATTAGTATATTTTTTCTTAGACATTGAAGAGATTCAGCTGCAGTATTTTCCCAAGTAAATAACACTAAGCACTTACTAAAAGCCTGTTATCCTAAAGAGATGAGAGTAATTTTAAATACTGGTTAATTCAACGCTAAACATATTTGACTTGAAGGGGTAGTTAAGCAACAGCCATTAAATGATACTTAGAGCTTTGAGTTGTAATTACATTCAATATGGATGCTTTTTTAATTAAAAATTCTTTTCTTTGGTGTTATTTTGGATCATTTGGGCCATTACAATTAAGCCTGTGTTTTTGTATATATTCTACATACTTTTAAAACCTGTAACTTTGTTATGTGTTACTGTTCTTACAAGCATGAATGTGTGTTTTACCTCATAGGTTTATGTATAACAAAGTTTTATTACCAACTATTCATAATGTTCATCAAATAAACCGTAGTAATTTTAGTGACATCTTTTCTTCATATGATCTTACATTCTTTTGCCTACCATCCTTTCTTAATTTTTTCTTTGAGGTGATCTATTTATTTCTCTGTTATTCCATGGCCATTGAATATTCATCTCTCATTGCTAACCTTAACAGTTTTTATGTCTTTCCTACCTCTGGAATAGGTACCAGGTAGTTGCCTTTTTAGTAACTCAGATACTATGACATATTCTGGAATCTTCTGTCAGTTTTGAAGTTGTCTATTATTTTGCTGGCCAAAAATTCATGTTTTACGAAACAGAAATTGAATTTCTTCTGGATAAGATCTGCAAGTTTTAACCTCTGCCCTTATAGAGGTCGATACCTATTGATCAGTCTATACAAAACCAGTCAATTGTGCAAGTCCAGCATTACATGAAAGGGCATCCAGTATTTAATATCTTTGTATATGTGCGTACCAGACCAGTGCTGTACCACTGCCAGCCTGGACTACGTGCTTTCAAGTGAGAGTATGTGTCTATGAATTAATCACGTATTGGAATAGATAACAGTGTCAGTGAATACTTGAATGTTTTGAAGAAGATAATAAAGAACTGACTATGTAAAACTATATAATATTCGAATTGCTATTATGCACATACAGCTCTTTGTACTTTTTAATTCTTTTCTGTAATTCATAGTGGGGGGTTTTTTTGTTTGTTTTTTTGTTTTGTTTTTTGAGACAGGATTTCGCTGTGTAGTTCAGGCTGGCCTCAAATTCTGGGTAATTCTCCTGTCTCAGCCTCCCAAGTGGTGAGATTATAGGTTGTCTTGGTTACTTTTCTCTCGTTGCTGGGACAAAATACCTGACACCTAAAATTAAGGAAGGAAAGGTTTATTTTGCTTACAGTTTGTGGAAGTTTCAGTCTGTACTTGGCAGATTATAAGGCCTAGTGGCACATGGCAGAGAGCTACAGCTCATGGTGGCAGAACACAGCAAAAAGCAGCAACCACACACCAGGGGGGAATGGCGGAGGAATCGCCTCAAGCACCCTTTTCCTCTCCCTTACATATGCAAACTGTCCACCCCAGGGCGGGTGCAGCTCTCACACCCCTAATCAATCAAACTTTAAAAGCCTGCCCCATGGCCGCATGAGGCTTTGGGGGGGACACCTAGACACAAACCATAACACAGGTGTGTGCCGGCATGCCTGGCTCAGTGTTATTTCTCACTAGTCATTTCACTAAACATTGTCAGCTCTATAATTATTCCAAATATTTCTTTAGAATTTCCAGCAATTTTGTCATTATATCATTTTTGTGTTTAGAATCATAGTATGAAAATGGATTAGACATAAGAATAGGACGTAAATATGATTGTGGGGGAGGCCTTTATTTTCTAATTTTGGTTTTAGTTGTAATGATTCCAGCCTCTTTGAGGCTGGACTTTAAAAAAAAATCTGATTATGTTCCTTCATAATTTGTGTGTGGTGCTGAGAATGAACCCAGAGGGCACGCTAGGCAAGGGCACTGCCACTTTGGCCACACCCCTCCTCCCTTGCCCTTTTCCTTCTTCACCAATTTGCTGTGTTAGTATGGGTTTCCTGTCCGTTCTAGCACATCAGCTCTGGAACATGTCCGTTCTCACGCTGATGGTTTGCTTTCCAGTTTGCTTCTGTGCAGTCACATCTCTGTGACGTCTGCCTCGTTAGGGTGGAATGCACACTGCTCCTGCAGACCTGTTTTGCCCTCTTAGGACAGCTGTCTGTCATCAGGTGTGACATTTCGGTAAGCCTGTGCCATTTTCCAAAGGCAGTAAGTGGACTGTTACTTGATGTTGGCCGTCTTCAGCTTTTCAGTTCATTATAGTCTTTTCTCGAATTGTCCTTGGGTCTCAGTGTTGTTCTAGAATGTCTCTTAAACTGAGTCCATAATGTTCCGCTGCATTTGTGTTCTCCAGAAGCGTTTAAGATTGAGATAATCTGTTCTTCGCTCTTTAAAACTTCATTGTAAACTTGTCTTGACCTGAAATTTTCTTTTTTTTTTGACCTGAAATTTTCTTATTGGAAAGATTTTTGTAACAAGTGCTTTATGTTTACTTATTTTAGTTTTTTGTATTTTCATTTTTCATCAGGAAACATTTTGAATATACAGTTTTATAACATTTATTAAATAGAAATTTGAAACCAACTGGCTATTTCATATTAAGGAATTTTTCTTTTAAGGTGAGATAATGGTGTTGGCTTATATTATTTAAAGAGTCTTTGTGCTTTGGAGACACATACTAAAACAAGAGATAGGGGCTGGGGATATAGCTCAGTAGCACAGTGCCTGCCTGACAAGCATGAGGTTGTGAGTTCAATTCCCTGTACCAAAAAAAAAAAAAACAAAAACCAAAACCAAAAAAACAGGTAAATGAACTTATCTGTAATTCCCTTCGCTGTAATATGGGTTGGGGAAAATAAACGAGAATGGGTCCGGATTGACCATTGTTGGTGGTTATTGGACTTAGGTGTAAGAATACCTAAGTGGATGTGGTCTTTAAATCTTTTTAATGATTTCTGATTTGATTATTGATTTTTAGCTAAATTTTGTTGTGATAGTATCATGTTAGTTTCTTTGAAATTTATAAAGACTCTCTTGATAGAGTGATACACAAGTAAGTTTTTAGTTATTTTATGTTTGCTTGGAAAGAATATATAATCCTTTATTATTGGATGTGGGATTCTGTATTTGTCCATTAAATGAAGCTTTTTAACGTTTGTTTCTCTTTCCCAATTTTTTAGCTTTTTCCTTTCACTAGATCAAATCGTTTTCTCAGTTCCCCATCCTCTGCAGATTGCACTGAGCATAGGTTAGCGTATTCTTCTGTGTTTCATACGTTGGTGGTTGAATTTAGACAGCGATTATATTCACATTTGATTTCTTTTTCCAAGACAGTTACAGAGTGTTGAGGTGCTTCTTGATCATGAGATTTGCAGTAGTTGTCCTCTTTCTTGTAATGTTAGAAGCTGTGATACTTGGTAATATAAAGTCTTTTTTTTTTCTTCTTGAGACAGGGTCCTGCTACTCACTTGAACTCACTTTGTGCTGACCTCAAACTCATGTCAATGCTCCTGCTTCAGTCTCCCCGGTGCTGGGGTTACAGGCATGTGCCACCATGCCTGGCTAGAGTCTTGATCCCTTAGTTCATTAACAGTTGTAGAATGATGAATTTATTCTATTTAGCCCTCATTTCCTAGCTGAAATAATTTTATAATGGTAAACTTACCCTTGTTTATTGTTTGTTTGTTTTTGTATTTTGAGACGGGGTCTCACTGTGTAGTTCAGGGTGGCCTTTAACTCCCTATGTAACCCAGGCTGGCCTCGAACTTGTGGTGATCTTACTGCCTCAGCTTCATGAGTGCTGGGATTGCAGGCCTGTGCCACTGTGCCCAGCTTATTACTCATTTTATTGAGTAGCTTATTTTCCCTTTATTTGCTGACTTTCAAAATCGAAAGTTTTTCCCTATCTTGGTCTAGAGGTAAGCTCACTGGCTTAACCATATCAAATGTTTCAGTCTGTGGCATTTATTATTCTTATTGATGTGCAGACGGTCACATCTTCAATCAGTGGAGGCCTTTTCAGACCCTTTTGGCATGACCATGGTCTTTGATAGCTTTTAAAAAAAATCTAGATGAAGTGTTCTAAGATCATCACATATATTTCTTTCTCCAATGATCCCTGATCCCTTTTAATGAGAAATGATATTTACATACCACAATGTGGATGTTAAGGCTATATATTTCTGTAAGATTGGGCTGGAAAATATTTCATTATGATTTTAGTGGATACAACGAATTTTAATGTGGTATGAAAATTCTTTGCTGATTACATTAAAGAATTGATTTTTATTACCAAGAAAGTATTAATATTGATAAAATACTTAAATATTTCAGCTGAATTGCTAGTATCTCATTTTAAAAAGCTTTTTAATAGATTTCTAGCAGATGTTAATAATGTGTTGATTTGTAAATGCTATTGTATTAACTAAATGAAAACTTTAACATGTTGAAACAATAGTGCGTATTTTAAGGTAAATCTACTTCTCAGACTTTTAATAGTGCTTTAGTAAATGTGTCTTTTCTCCCCATAGGTTATTTTAGTGTCTGCCAATAAATTGACTCGTTATATTGAGCCATGCCAGTTAACAGAAGATTTTGGTGGGAGTCTTACCTATGATCACATGGACTGGTTAAATAAGAGGCTGGTGAGTACATTTCAATGAGATAAAATATTATTGTATGTAGATCAGACATTTTAACACCTTTATTATTATGATCAACAAAAAATGTAGAAGATTTTCCTTTTCACAGAAATGGAAATTACATTATAGGGTAATATTTGAGGACAAATAGTCTACAGTTAGATTACGTGATTAGAATCCTGATGCCAATTGCTCAGTGTATGACTCTCAGATGTATTTAATTTCTCCATGCCCCTTTTTCATATCTCTAATATGGTAGTAATAATAGTCTTCCTAGTGGGATTGTGGGTAAAACAAAATGAACATACATTTCTGGGCATGGTGGCGCACACCTGTAATCCCAGCACTGAGGAGGCTGAGGCAGGAGGATCATTGCAAGTTCAAGACCAGCCTGGGCCACAAAGTGAGCTCAAGGCCAGCCTGAACTGCATAGTGAGACTCTCTCCAAAAGACAAAAAAAAAAAAAAAAAAAAAAGAGCATACATCTAAAGCATTTAGGATAGCACCCAATATGTTACAGTAGCACCCTGTGAAAGTTACCTTTCCATTGTCATTAGTACCACCAATAAAAGTTGTAAATAGTTTTAAGTAGAATGGGAGGCTAACACAACATCTTCAGAGGTACTCTAATTGATATGAGCCTTTTCAGAGACTATTTATCAATTTGAGGAGTAGTTTGACATAATAAACTTTTCATTTCTGAATATGTGTCTTCTTTTTGTCTGGACTTCTGTAATCTGCTACTGTACATAATATGACATTGTTTTAAAGAACTGCTGAAAGAACAGTTTTAAATCAGTTTAGACTATGTGTTAATATTATGGGAGAATAATGGATTTATGATTATCTCTGAATGGATGACCATTTTTGTCATATTTGCACAGTGATATTAGACAAATATGTGTCTAGTTTATTAAATATGTTCAAATAGATTTGACCTAATCTTTTTAGAAATATCTGAAGAAATCATATTAAAATTAGAACTAATTTCTTTTTATGTTACATACTTGCCTATGAAACTTTAAAAATTTTTAATAGCATACGCTTGGAGTATATAGTGATTACACTCAGTATGGGGGTTTGAAACATGTTTATACATTGCATCTTGATCATTTTTACCCTGGGTCATTTTGATGCATCTTGATTGTTTTTCTTAACATGTCTTTTATTTTGCTTTGTAAATTATTAATAGTTTTGGTCTCAGAGAAACCATGTAATATTTCACCTTTTGTGACTTATTTCACTCCAAAAACAAGCTTTTCTGAATGAAGAATAAAAATAATTTTTAGTATGTTTAAATTTTTTAAAAATTATTTTTCCATTTAAACTGTTCATTGTTCGAGGATATGGTTTTGTCTTGTTATGTACACTGCTCTACCCCAGTGGTTGAATTGTACTAAGTGACTTCCTGGGAATGGAAGGAATCCTGATTAATTTTGTTGCTCTTAACTAAAAATCCTATTAGATATCTATTTTTCATATTCTTGCTATGTTAATTAAATTTTATACTGTAGGTTTTTGAGAAGTTTACAAAGGAATCTACTTCGTTATTAGATGAACTTACTTTGATTAATAATGGAAGTGATAAAGGAAATCAGCAAGAGAAAGAAAGGTAGGTGGCTGATGGCATATAATGGTATTCTTGCCAAGTTATGATTAATCTAGTGTTAGTGCAAGCTAAAAGAATTATGATACAGAAGTCTCCAATAGAAATTTATATACAATATTCATAAAAATTTGCCTTTCGTATAAAACATTCTAATTTGAATCAACGTTTTACAGAAGCTACTTTTTGATGAATAACATTGGAAAATACTAAGTTGCAAGAACATTTTAAAATGAAATATTCTACTCTGTAGTTTTACTCTTTTCTGGTAAAGAATGTGAAAACAGTTTCAACTTCAAATAAAAGTATTGTAACTTTATTTAAATATATTAGCACTTAAATGCCTAATTTGTAGGGCTTCCTTTGTAGAATGAATTTAACTTAGAGAATTTATTGTTTTATGATACTGGATTGTTAAATCATATTCTCTATATGTAACTACCTAGATTTGCCATTTTAACAGATTTGCATTAAATTTTATATTATCAGTTCTTACTTTTCTCTTGGTCAGGAGGCCAAGTTCCTCTTTTCTTGGTAAAAACCATTTTAGGAAGCACATTAGCTCTTTCTGGGCTCTTCATTATTCTTCAGTAGGACAATAATTTTTTATTAGGAAAGTTTTTTATTAGGGATTAACAGGCATTCTTGTTTTATCTCCTTTGTATCTGACCTTGAATATAGAGTAGGCCCTTGATAAAATGTATCTTCTTATCCCATGAAGCCAGATATAGTCACATAGCAATAAATGGAAACAACAAGGTAAGAGGGATGTAAGAGGATCATAACTTTAATACTAGATCTAAAGTCAGGATGTGAAAACAAATTGTTTGAGTGTAAATCTAGTGTTACCATAAACAGTTAGGAGTATTGTTATTCTGTAGATACCACATGACAATACAAATATTTAAATATGGTGTGTGCATGTATACAGCTTTCTTATAAACACAGAGGAATTGAAGATGTCACACAAGGTACTTCATAAAAATTAGCAGAAACTAGTCAAATATCTTTGCTTTCTGATTAGTCCATCAAACTCAGTTTGATGTTTCCAGTTCTATTCCTCAGGAAAAACACCCACAGAGAGTGTTTGTAGAAAATGAGTCCATGGTCAAAATGTAATGATGTCAACTGTATTTCCCTCCTGAGAATGACAAAACATTACAGATTAAGGATTCTGAAGAAGCGCTGCAGCAGAGAAACCTGTTTAATTAGTTGCTTCATTAGAACGCCTTATCCTCATCTGGCAGTGGGACCCCTTTTTTTTTACTAGTAGTATCTTGTCCTGTGTTTTGAGAAACACTTTGGGAAATGCTGGTTCACCATGTCTACTTAAGGTATTGCATGACATCTTCTATTTGTGAGTCCCTCTTCAAAGTACTCAAATGTTAAGGCTGGGGATATAGCTCAGTGGCATAAGTGTCTGCCTGGCAAGTACAAGGTCATGAGCTCGATCCCCGGTACCGCAAAAAAAAAAAAAAAAAAAAAAAAAAAGTACTCATGTTATTTTAGTTTCTTTTATACTTAGATACTAAAGTTCCTGATCTCACAAAACTTCATCAGCTTTTTAATGTCAGTCCTCAGGAAGCATCTAGGCTACACAGGAGGAGAGGGCTTAGATCACTTGACAGAAGTGAAAGGTTTAGTTTTAGGCTGATCAGTTACTGTTTATAGCAGCATAGTACTTAGCTTTGATTTGCCAGGTTCCTTATCTTGCCTTAATCTTCTTTTCCCCCATATCTGTTTTAAGGAAATAAGGCAGAAATCCAGCTACACAAGAGACATAATTAGATTCGGGAAGAGAGAGTATAACCGCTTTCATGTCTTTGTGCATACCTGTGCACACATACACCCACACACCTGTACCCCTTGTCTTGGTTACTTTTCTCTCATTGCTGGGACAAAATACCTGACCCCCATAATTAAGGACGGAAAGGTTTATTTAGCTTACAGTTCGTGGAGGTTTCAGTCCTTACTCGGCTGGCTCCAAGGCAGAGTGGCAGTGGCAGAGGGCAACAGTTCATGGCAGAGGAAGACAGCAAAGGCAACAAGAGCACAAAGGGGAAGCAGTGGCAAGCAGCCTTTTTCCCTCCCTTACACTGAGTGCAAACTAACCACCACAGGGGCAGGTGTAGCACTCACACCCATAATCCCAACATTGGACTGTGGATCAATCAAAAATCTAGAAGCCCACACCATGACTGCATGAGGATTTGGGGGGAATGCAGACATAAGCCATAACACCCCTGCAGTAGAGAGAATATTTGCAGCTAACAAAAGTTGCTATAGATAAGTGGAAAATGCGTGTGTAGTTTTTATGTGTATTTCTGGGTTACTATATAGTTAGAAATGTCATTTTGAACAAGTACGAGAATAGATTCCTTCGCTATATTTTAGACAGTACTATAAATAATAGCATTTAACTCTATTTTTCCAAATAGTGTGATTTTTATGATTTTAAAATTTGATTTGTCACATTGATAGTTCTTTGGCTATTAGTATTGACTTTCTTTAGTGGGCTTCTTTATACCTAGGAGAAATTAGTGTGGTAAAAATAGAATATTTTAGGTTTCCATACTTGTATATTTTTGTTTTGATACTATACATAAAGAAATTTCTTATGGGCAGAAATATAAATTTCAGAAATTATTCTTTTGGTGCTTGCCAGGTCTGTGGATTTAAACTTTCTGCCATCAGTTGATCCTGAAACAGTTCTTCAGACAGGTAGGATGAAAAAACATATTTATTATATTAGTGATAACAATCCAATAAAGCAGTTATATTGGTTGGTTCATTGATTCAGTGTATATGTGGTACATGTTATAGAAGTTTGAGAGGAAAATTACGTGGCAGACCTTACATTTTCATATTTCATTGTCCTAATAACCTTTTGAGATATTTTTTCCTCCAAGAAAGCAAATGCTTAGAGATTAAAAAAAAAAAAAAAATCCACAGAAATAACTTGTTCAAAATCAAGTAAGTCATAAGCTGTCTCACCATACCTGGGAGCAGGTCTAAAGGGAAAACCGTGAGCATACTATGGTATAGTCACCTATCTAAAAACTCTTAGCATGTTATAATACTTAGCATGCTGTAATAACTTTGGAAAGAATGAGTACTCAATGCTGCATGATGTATATATTTTGGTAGCTGTTTCATGACTTCTGTGTGAGCAAATTGGAATTCTCTGAATGTGTGCTATGCACTGTTTTAAACATTTTATATATGTTAATTTCTTAACTCTTCAGCACAGTCCCAGGAAGTACGTTCTTTATGACCCCAATTTTAAGAGGGAAAACTGAAGAACAAGAACATTAAGGAGCTAGTAGCTTGTGCAGTTTAGGTAGCCAGTAATTGCTAGAGTTAGGATCTGAACCCAGGCAGTTTGGTTTCAGAATATGTGTATTTTTTGAAATAAATATCTTATGCTGTTTCTCTAATGGAAATGGTATACATAAGGAACACGTTATAGGTAACAATTGTCAATGCAGAGAAAGTAAATGTATTGTGATATTAATGCCTTTTATGTGTGTATGTAGAGTTTTGGCAAAGATTTAGATACATTTTAAACATGCACAAATATTTAGGACAGATTTTTTGCCAATGATAAAATGTAATGAAGAATAAAAAATTTTTTGAATGTCTTTGTTGTATTGATTCAGTTGTCCTAAATTTTCCCAGTATGAATAGATCTTTTTCCTTAGAGAACAAAGAAATACTAGTAATCTCTGATTTGTGTATAGAATTGCGATAGACTATCAGTAAAAGAACTACTGTATATTTAAAACTTAATTCCATGTATCTATTTAACATTCTGGAAAGCTTCTTATTTTAAGCCATTGAATTAAGGAGGCTTTAAAATTTGTATTTTAAAATTAACTATATGCCACTTAAGTCTTGTTCTATTTGCTATTAATTTTTAAGTTAGGGATTGGAAGAATATAAAATGGAAAGGTTTAGAACAATCTGGATTTTTTAAAAAAACTAAAAATAGCTCTAAACCATATAGAAGTTCTGTTTATATATAAAAAGGCATTTAAATTTAAGGGGATATTTTGTAAATAAAAAGAGATTTTAAGTATTTATATATTGTTTGTGGATCTAAATAGTAATCGTAACAGTTTTGTACTTGAAAAGTTTCTTAAACTTATGTTAAAGCTGTGTATGTACCTACAGATTTAGTTGCCCACTCTGTTAATTTTAATTTATCCTTTTTATGTGGATTTCCTGTATTAATTTTCTGTAATTGAACCACATTCAATATAGTTCTTAGACTAGTCTCATGAATCAATAATAAATATGTTGTAAAGATACCTGTAGAAATTATGTAAATATTATTTCATACAAGTAATAACTTTCTTTTTTATGCTAATCACACATTCATTTCACTGTCATCCTGTAAGTTCTGTGATTGAGAATACAGATCAATAGTAAAATCCTGAAATAATGTATTGCTTGGATTAGTACCATCAGACAGAAATCCGAGAGTGTACTTTTGCTCCATAAGGAAACATCATTGATCAGCACAATGTCCTGAGTAATGAATCCACCAATAAAAAAATGTGATAAATGGATAGGTAAAAAATTTATAACACTACATTTACTATGTTGTATAGCATATAATTGGCATCCATGTTTATAGTATGTGATAGGGCATTTTCATATATTTGTAGTTTTATGTATATGTAAATATATATATTGCATAATGTATCCACATGTATATTTGCATATTATAGTTTTTGTACTTAAAATTGCACTTTACTATTTATGACCTGCAGGTAGGTAGATTGGTAAATGAAGGGGTTTTTAAACAAAGGACTAGAATTTAGCGGATTGAGAAGTGAGAAATGTATTTCTTTTATTTTTTAATTTTTTATTCCATTTTTTTTCCAAGCCCCTTACCCCCAGCCCCTCTGAGAAATGTATTTCTTAAAGGGCATTAATTATGAATATCTTTCCTTTGTAAAGGACATGAATTGTTGTCCGAATTACAGCAGCGTCGATTTAATGGCTCCGATGGAGGGGTCTCATGGTCTCCGATGGATGATGAACTGCTTGCCCAGCCACAGGTTATGAAATTATTAGATTCACTCCGAGAGCAGTATACTCGCTACCAGGAAGTTTGTAGGCAGCGTAGCAAGCGCACACAGTTAGAAGAGATTCAACAGAAGGTGATGCAGGTAGGTGTCTGACTTGAATATATGTTTTTAATTCTAAACTTTTTTCCCTGATAATTTCTATTGGGTAACTGACTTTGCATTTTTGTTTACATTACAAAGAGAACTTTAGACATTTTTTAATTGGATTCTAAAACTTTTTAGCTAGCATCTTTCATACATGTTACCTGAATTAAAGTAATATTTTTACAGTGATTCTTTCACCTACCAAGACTTGCTGCCTTGTTTCTTACCTCTGTCTTTCCTTCTCTTCCTTCTTTTTCCCATTGAAATAAGGACTGTAACACTTCCTTTGAAAGGCTAGAGTTTGGGAAAAGAAGAGGACTCAGTTAAATGACAGCTATGATATTTACTTCTGTTGAGTGAAACTCTGAAGACATAGTTCAATTGTTGAATTCTTTCTCCGAAAGGCCAAATATTTAAGCTTTATAAACAAATCTTAGTTGCAATTATGCTGCTTGCCTCTGACATTATAGTAAATGTGCAGAAATAAGCATGTTAATGAATGTGCATGCCCTTCTTCCAGTTAAACTTAATGTACAAAAATGGGTCGTGGGCCAGAATTGGCTCATCAGATATATAGCTTGCTGATCTTTGAACTAGAGTATTAGGATTCCATGGTATAAAAGAGTTGAAGATAGGAGTTGGAACATGGAATATGTTGAATTCCAGGCAGAATGCTGGCATTCTAACCCATGATAACCACAGACACTTCGAAGATATCTGAGCACATGTTAGTTAAATGTAACTTTTTGTATGTACTCATGTTAAAATTAGTTTCTGATAAACCCAAGTAAGCTTTAGTCAGTTTGAGATTATCTTTGAAAACCACAAAAAAATGGGATAGCAGAGTGGTATAGAACTCAGATTCCGAGTCCAGATTACCTAGGTCAGCACTCTTCTCCCATTTCAAGCAACCTGACCTTAGGAAGAAAGTTCTACACCTACTTTCCTCATCAGTAAACAGAGAATGATGACATTCCCTATTAAATGGGACTGTCATGAAGATTTAAAAAGTAATTTTTTAATAAAGTGTTTAGTGCCTGACACATACCAGTTCTGGCTGTTGATGGGTAGGCACCGGAAACATGAGTGATAGGAGTCATCTACCATTTTTGCTTTTCTAAGGGGGATATGTGATCAAAGTTAAGGACAAAAGAATTAATGTATTGACAAGCATACTTTTAAAATGATGGTTGAGCCAGTTCTTTGGATAAAGAAATTGGAGAAGAGAGATGATGATGATGATATGTTTATATTGATGTGATAATGGTAGTGAGATTATTTTTAAAAACAGATAAACTTCATCACAGCTCAGTTTTCTTTATTAGGGTTACAGATTAATTGACACGAATATTCACATACAGTGTTTTCTTGCACTTTTTCAGAGATCATAATATACAGAAAGATCTATTTCCCTCACCAAAATGATTCCTTAAATTTAATTGTATAATCACACATTTTCATTAAGTTTATTGGTACAGTTTAGATATACACAGTGATCACATTCATCATGGGGAATTCGCTTCTGTACATGATGTGTCCGGTTCTCTCTTGTTTTTTTTTGCAGTCCCCTCCCATCCCTTCAACCTCCTTCCTCTTCTCATTTACAAAGCTTTGTTTCGATTTCTTCCTTCTCTTTTTTCCCCTTCCTCCCCTCCCCTCCCTAATTTCCCTTTCTTTTGAACCATTTCTTCCCACTTCACTATACTGATTAGGTACTTTGATCCTACTTACCCTTTTGGTTTCTCATATCAAAGAGACAATGTGATATTTACACGTATGTGTCCAGTTTATTTCCCTTAAGAGTGTGGTCCTAAAGGTGCATCCATTTACCTGGGAATGTCTCAAGTTTATCCTTTTTTTTTTTTTTTTACATTTCAGTAATTTTATTGAAAGGTATATTTCTTACTATCAAACATAATGGTAGTTGGTTAGGTTACCTCTGCCAACTCAAAGTTAATACCGATGTTTTCAAAATACTGAAATGTATCAGCCTCTTGGTAAAACTGAAGTTATCCATAAAACATGGTTTACAAAAAGTTAAAGGCAGAATATACTATGGTTCTTTGGTTTACTTTTCAATGCTTATTTATCTACATGATGTCAAAATTGGTTACATCCATTCTGGATAGACTCAGGCTTTAGGCCTCACGGAGTTACTATCTACAATGCTAACAATATATATACATCTCCTTATATTCATGGAGAATTCTCACACGGAGAATTCCAAACACTTAACTCAGTGATTTCATAATTATGGAGGTGCCTACTTACTTTTCTTAAGACGCAGTATAGAAATTTGTGAAAGTATGCTCTATTCCTTTAAAAAAAGAAAAAAAGCTAGAAACAATGGCAGTTTTATAGAAACAATTCAGAGTAAAACCTGGAGTGCTTTACCTAGCCAGAACTTAGGGTAAAGCAAGTTTTCAGAGTGATAATTGATTCTAAGTTACTACGTAATAGAACATTTTTTTAATGGAACTGGACTGAGGAAGTAGACTCTATATAGAAATTTTTATCACTGATACAAACATAACCTGTGTTTTTAGAAAGGCTGTTAAAGACAGCTCAATGAATATGCCAAACTTACTAGGTCTGTATTTTGGCTTAATAAGAAATGTCTTTAAATTTAAATGCAATTCCCATATAGCAATAACATTCTCATCTCTGAATTGTATTATTACTTGCATTATGGGTGTCAAAAAGTCCATTACAATATCTAGAAGATAACCCGTATTATGCCTTAAAAAAGTGCATGTGTGAAATGTTGGTTTTGGTTGCTGGGCGTGGTGGCACACACCTGTAATCCCAGCACTCTGGAGGCTGAGTCAGGAGGATCTTTGCGAGTTCGAGGCCAGCCTGGGCTACAAAGTGAGCTCAAGGCCAACCTGAACTGCATAGCGAGACCCTGTCTCAAAAAGACAAAAAAAAAAAAAGTTGGTTTAATGTAAATCTCGTAATTTAAAATTGAACATTTAAATTAAGTAGATTACCATTTTCAGGATCACCTAAATATAATATATTGATCCAATATAGAAAGTTAATTTTAGAAATGAAGATTCACAGTTCACTTTTTCAGGCTTATATTAAGTATTTCACATTTGTACCTTTAGCTTTATACATGAATTCAAATCTAAACAATCCCTATTATATTATATTAGGCAATTTTACCAAGTTGGAGAACACCATACTAATCTAGTTGAGACTTCATAATTTAAATTCATTATAACATTATGGAATCCATAGTTCAGAGTTGTGGAGAAAGGCTTTGAAGAAACGTTTTTTGTGCTGAAATAATATTATTTATGTAAAGAACAAAAAACCCCAACTTATTAAAAGTTGGTCTAAATATGACTAGCTATTAAAAGTAAATTTTTTGTACCTGAGTTTTATAATGATATGTAGATATGTTAAATGTTGACATTTAGTTTTGAGTAGGAAGTTTATCCTTCTTTATGACTAATACTCCATAGTATAAAAAAACACATCTTTTTTAACCATTCCTTAGTTGATGGGCATTTGGGTTGTTGCTATATTTAACATAAGCATATTCAACTTTATAGTTATCTTTATTTAAAAATTTTTTTTTATATTTTCCCCAAACTTGCAAGACTAAAGATAGTATAGTTCATGCTATGTAATCAGTGTGTTACATATGTTGAATATGTTTATGTTTATGAATGTGTTTATGACTTAGTCCAAACTTGTTTACTGAATTATCACTGTCTTGGTTACTTTTCTCTCGTTGCTGGGACAAAATACTTGACCCCCAAAATTAAGGAAAGAAAGGTTTATTTTGCTTACAGTTTTTGGAGGTTTCAGTCCATACTTGGCAGGTTACAAGGCAGAGTGGCAAGTGGCAGAGGGCAACAGCTCATGGTGGCAGAACACAGCAAAAGCAACAAACGCAAAAGCCAGGAATGGCTGCAAGCAGCCTCTTCCTCTCCCTTACATATGCAAACCATCCACCCCAGGGCGGGTGTAGCTCTCACACCCATAACCAATCAAACTCTAAAAGCCTGCCCCATTTCTGCATGAGGCTTTGTGGGGGACACCCAGACACAAACCATAACAATCACTGAAAACATAATGCAAGAGAAATCAGTAGCTCATAAACTGTGTGTTAAGTAGTAACATGATAGTTATCAGTCACTTATTCCCCACGATTCAAATTGGCAGCATCAGACTTCATGTGATATGCAAATATTCTGCATACAGCTGCTACTGTGATAGTTAAAAATTAGATTTCACATGCTTTGGGGTAGGAGACAGTGCCATTTCATTTCAGTGTGTTAGCGTCATCCCCATTATTTATTGTGGCAGTAATTTCTGCCAGTACGGCAAATGTTATTTCTTGTATCATCCTTGTGCTTTTCTTCCATTATAGACAGGAGCCATAGACTCAAAATAGGATGCACTCCGAGGTGCCTAAGTGTACAAGTGGAGACTGTATTCTTGGTCCCCATACCTTTTTACCAGGTCAGATACTTGGCATTTACTTGGCATGCCTTTCTGCCTGGTTTGTCCTTGTGTACTTGCTGATATTCTCCATACAGTCCTTTGAAATCAGCCTAGCTATGAAAAAATCGGGGGTAGTCACAAACATTTTTAGCCTATGCAAGTATTTGTATGGTAGATTTTAAGAACTCATCTCCAAGGTTATACTTTGCATATGAATGTAACCATTTGAAGGGTCACATTGTTATGGATTGAGCAGAGAATTATTTTTGTAGTAAATTAATATTCAGATTAACTGAGCAAGATGTTGTGTTTGAAATGAAATATTATAATGCAGTTTGACAAAGGACCATCATTAATGAATTTAAATAGGCTTGTTTACTGGGGCATCAACCTCAGTTTGCATCATTTTTACTGGAAATAATCATACATTTACTGTGTCTATATTATTGATGTTGCATACTAAAGGGAATTACTTTCTGCATACATTAAAGCTGTATTTGCACTTGACTGTATAACTGGGTTTTCGTGCCAAGGAAATGTCTTTGCTTTATTTAAAATTTATTTTAAAGTTTATGGCTCTTCTGAAATTTTATACGTAGTCCTTTTTGTGCTACTGTAACAATACCTGAGCCTGAGTAATTCTAAAGAACAGAGATTTATGTCTCACATTTCTTAAGGTTAAGAATTCCAAGGATGAGAGACCAGCATCTAGTAAATGCCTCTTACTGGGTCACCTGATGGTAGAAGGCAAAGGGCAGTAGAACCTGTGTCTAAGACCAGGGAGAGTACACGCCATGGAGAGATGGCAGTGACTCACTTTTCCAGCAAATCCACTCTCTCGGTAGTGACATTGACCTGTTCCTAAGGGCTCTGTCTGCCCCAGCCACTTCTTAAGTTCCCACCTCCTAGCACTGATACGCTATGGATTAAATTTCCTCCATATGAACTTTGGAGAACATAGTCAAACCACAGCTCGTGCTAATGAATTTTTTCCCCTGGTTGTCATGATTTCTCTTAGTGGGCTTTTTTTTTGTTGCTAGAGTATTCTTAAATAGACTTTACATGTTTAAATGTTATTTCATGTTTTAAAAACTGTACATAATATATTACTAGTTAAAATTTTAAGTGTTTTCAGTATTTTTAGAATTTATGTATTATTGGTCAAGTAATTACTGAAAATCTTAAAATTTCTTTCAGTTTTTCTGTATCTGTACTCATAACGTTAATAAATGAGAAATGATTCTCAAAAAGGAAGTTAAAAGTTGTTTTAAAATGTTTACAGAAACTTTTAAAAAACTTACTGTTTTTATTTCCATGCTTTAAAGTTTTGACTACAATAGATAGTTCAGGAATTTCCTTAAAAGCCTAGCAATCTTTCTGGGAAATGTGAGACAAACTTGATAGTGGGAGGACAAAAGGAGCTGGGCTACAGAAAAGGTGGAAAAGCAAAGAGGCTGACAGTTGTCACTGTTACCTGCCGTGCTGAGGGTTTCACGCACAGTTACCGATACACACAGGGGTACTGTATGGCAGGGGTCAGTACCATCATCTTTAAGGTGAGGAATCAGTTTTTTGCTAGTAGGAGCAGAGCCAGCGTTCAGAACTGAAACATATACTTAGTGCTTTCTCTCAGACCAAAATGATTTCTCATCTGTGTTTTTTGTAGAAGAGTAATTCCTCTCACAGGTAACAGAGGGGCCGTCTGTGCCTCTAAAGATAGTTTACACAAAAGATTTAAGAATAAAAGCTAGAGATGTTGAAGAACAAATCTTTGTTATTTTAAAGAGCATCTGTGCCCGGGATATAGCTCAGCGGCGCAAGTGCCTGCCTGGCAAGTGCGAGGTCCTGAGTTCGATTCCTGGTACCAAAAAAAAAAAAAAAAAAACTAACAGTACATTGAAAAATTAAAAGTACCCTTTAAAAAAATAAATAAAGAGCATCTGCCAGATGGAGTTTGCAGATGAACGTAGTGCTCTGAAAGTAGTTTAGACAAAGACAGTTCTAGCCCTTAGGGCTATTCCAGTGGGCCAGTCAGCAGAGTTCCTTTGACTTTTTCATTTTTAGAGTTTTTCATTTTAGCATTAAATTTAAAAGGAGAGAGTGGGAGTTAATATAGTAATATTTAAGACAGTATATTAATATTTAGGACATTAGAATATAAGGACAGAAAACAGAAATCACAGAAGATCATTTACTTGTAAGTAAAGATCATATACATTTGGAATGTATTCAATCTCACTATTATTTTTAAAAAATACATGGAGAAATTTCTGTGTTTTTCAATTGGCAATATTTTTAAACAATAGTTTTATACCTTGCAGAAGTACAGATAAACCCTCATTATGGAGTATTTTAGATTAGAAATCTGTTTTACAGAACAGTTCTGTAATCTATACCAACAGCATTACATCATCATCGAACCCAAGGAGGTTTTCTGTTTGAAACTTTTCTTAGGAAAACAGTATAGAATTAGAGAAAAATGACATAACTGCTGTCTCATTCTGTCTGTATTTTTCCTCATATAATTGCTAAGAGTTGATGGAAACTGGAAATACTTTGTGACCAACGTTAGGGAGGCAGACTTGAAGGCAGGGTAAGCATTACTTGAGCTCGTGTATTCCTTGGATCTAATAAGGGTTGACCGCTTGCTGGGTGGCTGGGAGAGAGGTGGGCGAGCAGCAGGCAAGGCAGTTGGCCTTCATAAAAGAGAAGTTTGTAAAATCACTGAAATATAATGATTGTAGCCTCATGGTACATCACAAGAGTATTTAATTTATAAAGTTATGTGAATAACACAGGATAGAAATTACTTGCACTCCGAGAATCAGCTGTAGCAACTAAATATGGAGTAGTATGTGGAAACTCTACGTGCAGGAAGTTAATGGAATGAGACGTACATGATTTTCCCTTATGAAGTGGTACTTTAATATAGTTTTGAAAAATGAAGATGCATGAGCTGTTAAAAATAAAAAAAAAGAGTGTGTGTTAACCTAGTAGCAGCAGCAGTATGCCGTGGAGTTACTCTACTTTTGATACACAGTGCTAATGCAACGCTGGTCACCCGGTCCGTATTAATAAGCTGCAGACACCTGCTTTCACTTCTTGGGAGCTATCTTTAGATTCAGGCCATAAGTGTACCTCTCTTCTTGAATTCCTTCTCCTGAGTTAGAAAAGTTAGGCTTGTAATATTTTTGCTAACATTTCTTTACTATGTGATTGTGGGTGAAGAGGTAACAAGTCTGTCCTCCTGCTAGAGGATTTGATCTTTGTCTGTCTTCACTCTTTTTTTCCTGAAAACCTGATAATAATTGGAATGTCAACTATGTAACTAGGCCATATTACTTAAATAAAAAGTTATGCCAAGTCTGGATTGGGGGGAGAAATATTAATTTTCCATGGACAGCATAACTTTGGGCATTCTTGAGTTCAGTGACTCTCACACAGGGCATGAAATTTGATGCTGCAATGACCCCCCTACCCAGCCCATGTGGATTTTGCCTCCTTATGCGTGCTTCAGGGACTCAGAAGAGTGACACCTGTACTGTCATCCTGGCAAATGTAGCTGTCCTCTGAGCAGACTGGTACTGGTGGGACTTCTTGTGGGTCTATTTGGTGATCTTAAGAAGACACCTAGACTATTGCATGGCGTAATTCTGTGTTAGTTATTCATTGTCTTTAAAGCAACAAACTAACATTTTGACCTTATTTTGTAATTATTCAGTTTTAGATTTGCTTTGGGAAAAATGTCAGACTGTGAGTCAGGACACATGCCTTTTGGCCTTAGTTTTGCTGTAATAGATTGTTACCTTGGGCAAGTCACTTAATCTCTCTGAAACTCAATTTTCTTAAGTAATAGATAAGAACTTTGACCAATGTAATTTCTGATGTCCTTTCCACCTCCAAATCCTGTAATTTTCTGATTCTCTTATCATAAGTTAATTTTTAATCCTCTTTTATAGAAGCATGCTAGATTTCATTTAGCCTAGCAGATCAGATAGCTGAAAGCCTAAGGTGCTGCAGTATATATTCTTGCAAAAAGGGTTTGGAAATGTTGTCATATTATAGCGTTTAAATTCCAAAAGAAACATTTACTGCTTATGCTGAATTTAAATTAAAAATATATAAGGAATTTTGGGAAAGGAAAACTCATTAGGATGAAAGTTTGAGAAGCCTTCAATTATTTGAAAATTTCACTTCAACTTTGATTTGTAGGTTGTGAATTGGCTTGAAGGGCCCGGATCTGAACAGCTGAGAGCCCAGTGGGGGATCGGTGACTCTATCAGGGCTTCCCAGGCCCTGCAGCAGAAGCATGAAGAGATCGAGAGCCAGCACAGTGTGAGGCTTTCTTCCTGCTCTGCAAGTTACAGTGCTATTGCTGATGTGCATTGTGGTACTAAGTGCTGGGTTGCTTTAAACTTTGATATGGGGCGTAAAATACAGTATGTTGAATGCTCGGATCACAAAGTACATTTTGACCATTTAGTACATGCTTATTACTAAGGTTTTGCTTCCAATACAGTTTAATTGTTAAAGAAATGCATTCCTATGAAATATTAAAAGCTACTCTTGCAAGAGTGATGATACAATAATAGAGCTTCATCACTGTCTCTGTGACACAAAGTCCATCCTGGGTGCTCTGAGGGAGGACTTTCCTGCTTCACTGAGAGCATCTGGCGCAGTGGGGGTGGGTGACAGCTGGCTGCCACATCAACACAGTGGGTGGAGAGTGGGTACAGAAGACACGGGATGGTTTTCATTCTCTGGGCGTGTAGGGCTTCACATTTGCAATGGTGAAAGGGATAATCAGACAGATCACAGGTATGAGTGGAGAAATGAAGTAATCTTCAGATTCTAGGCAGTAGCTGTTCAAGAGGATTGAAAGTGCAACCACTTGCTATATGGAGGAAATGGATATTTGCTAAGCTACTACTGTGTTATAGTTAATTCTGCATTCCTGAGAAAGTAGTTGTTTGTTTTGTGGGTCAGCTCACTCACCTCTTCTCCCCCAAGCCATATTGCCTTTTGTGGTGATTTAAAGAGCCAGGCAAGGGGGTGCTTGCCTATAAACCCAACACTCTGGAGGCTGAGGCAGGAGGATTACTGCAAGGTCAAGGCCAGCCAAAACTACATAGTGAGAACTTGTCTCAAAAATCCAAGGGGAAAAAAAGTAGGCACACACTCACAAACACACACACACTTGCACAGACATATTGAATACAAAATTGGAAAAATAAAATTTGAATCCATTAATTTCCATCTCTTATACTGTCTTCAAAAATTGATGAATAATAATGTTACACTCTGGACCCAGATGAAGTTTTGGGATCGCGTGAACATTAAATTTCCACAGGGTTTTTCTTTCCCCCTCAAATTTCCTGGTTAAAGCAGTAATTAAAAGCTGGATAGTATTAGGAAATGTGTATTAAAATAAAAAACTAAATAATATGCTTTGCTTAGACTAAATTTGAATGAAGTCTTGTCATTATGAGAGATACAGTATGTTATTGATATCTGACATTTATTTTCCTTTTAAACATATACTATTTTGAAAAAAATAAATATATACTATTTTTTTTAGTTCCCACATTTTTAAAAGGTAGTTATCCTTCAGTTTGATTTAGCTGTACTTATAGGTAATCTACATTACTGTACCCTAAAGAGTTGTAATCTAGTTGAAGGAATTATATATAAGAAAACTGTCTCATTATTTGGAGTTATCTAAAGATAGTGTATACATAGTCTTTGTAGTTTTTGTAATTAGTACTTGCAAGAGATTTAGAAAATGAGATCCTATGATTGAAAATTTATACATTTTATGTATCTTACAGGTTCCAACATGGTTCTTCCTTTTATGGTAAAAAAAATTGCGTTGAATAATTTATGTTTAATTTTTTACATCCTGTTCCTGAGATTATACTCTTAATTTTTTTAGTACTTTGAAAATAATGTAATGCTGTTGATTTTTTTGACATGGATTGTAATTTATTTGAAACTTGTGGATTATTCTGGAACATGTTACTATATAGTTAGCTTCTATAATTTTGTTTCCTAATTATTTTTTGAAAACTGTATTTGCTGAAGAGCATTGTAAACTTTATCCAGGAAGATTTAGATATAACAGTATTCTGAAAGTTCTGTTCCGTTCTGTTCTGTTTTATTTTGTTTTGTTGAGATAGAATCTCACTATGCAGTTCAGGCTGACCTTGAATTCATTGTGTAGCCCAGGCTCATCTCAAACTCATGGCAGTACTCCTGCCTCAGTCGTTTGAGTGCTGTGATTACATGCCTGCATCACCATACCTGGCTCCAAAATCTTTTTAATAAGGGTGTATAACACATGAGGATCATAAAGATAGGATTTGTACTTTTAAATTATTTTTGAAAGATGCCAAGAGAAATAGCTATAGTTAGAAATTGGATTATACATGTGTATAAATTTGTAAAGGAATTTAAAAATACATAGTATATTGAATTTAAAAACACATATACTATGTATTAAAAATACATAGTATATATGGTATGGATGAAATTATAAGTTATCTACAGAGATTCCTAGGTTCCAGTATTTTGTTTTTTTAATAAAAAAGGGTAAAAACAACCTAAAAAAAACAAATAATTTATAGGCAGCCCTTTCCATATGCTTAAACTTACTATATGTGGAGTCAGTGTACACAACTTTTGAATTATAGAGCCCCACATGCTAGTGTGTAAATAACCTGAATTTTGATAATTTAGATGCTGTCATCTCTTTTTATAGATGAAGAAATTAAGATAACTGCATTTTTTGATCAGTGAGTAGCTGGACCAAGGTTAAAGAAACAGACCTCTTGATACCAAGTGGCATCCTTCCTGTCTGTCTTGGAGAAGTCTACTAAACTTTATGGATAGGTTTAAAAGATGATGTTGTTATAATTATTAAATTCTTATACTCTTAATGCTTGAGGACATATATGTTGACATCTGCATTCATACACACAGCCCTCAAAAAAAAGGAAAGACCTACCATGGATTTCATTTCTTTAAATCATGCGTGATATTTGAGATTTGTTGAACATCAGGAAGTGGGACAGATACAGTGGGAATGTAGACGAGATGGGTTTGCCATGAGTTGATAATTACTGAAATAGGGTGGTGCATGGAGTTGTATCATACTAGACTTTCTACTTTTGAACAGGCTTGATACTTTTCATTTTAGAAGGTTTTTTGGGGGTTTTCTTATTTTCTTATAAAGAGAATTGCATTATGTTACCAATAGGTGGCACTGCATTGTCACCTTGAACATAGGTTGACAGTGGCTAAATGAGTTCACTTACGGTGTTTAACATTTTAATATTTCTCTAAAGTAGTCTTTGCTTTCGGTTAATAAAAGTCAACAATTTAAGCCATTTATTGAAAGTTTTCAGGTCTTATGAAATGATACTGACAAAATTCCAGTATTGTCAGAACTTGGCAAAACTTAGCGTACTGTTTTGTATTGTATTACAATGTCAGGTATTGAATTTGATTCCACATGAAAGCATAATGCAGAAATAAAGCTAAAACTCAAATATGTTATGATATTTAGTACTAAAATATGGAACAGTGAAAATCCTAACGTAGCTCTTCATTAAGGATTGTGAATTAGAAGTTCATTTTTTAAAATACGACACAACAGAAAAATCCTAAGGTACATGGAAATAATTATTGTGTCTGGTAATAAATTTGAAAGTATTTTAGTTCAGTAACAAATATAACCAGCTTCTTTAAAGTTTTATTTTATTAGCACATGTTTGCAATACATGAAGTTTACATTCACCTTAGGAAGTCGGTGCATGCACATAACGCATCTTGGTACTGTATTCCCCATTCACCTCTGCTGCCCTGTGTCTCTTAGTTCCCCTTTTCTCATTTTCATTGACACTATTTTTAGTTCATATTTACGAATACACTGTTTATCTCCATTGTGGGTGTTTGGTACATGTACCTGACACATCTTAACTCTTCACTTCCCAGCCCGACTCCTGGACCCCTTCTTATTTACAAAAAGATGTTTCCTTCTGTCAGTCATTTATTTTGCTCTTTATTTGTGCTTTGACTTAAGTGAGAAATGCCATGTGCTGTTTTAACTTGTGTGTCTGATTTTTACTTAACATTGTATTTTCCAAGTCTGTCCATTTAGCTACAGATGTCTCAAATTGATCATTCTTAATAGCGAAATAGTATTCCATTATGTATAGCTATCACATTTTCTTTATTCATTAGTCTGTTGATGGACCTACAGGCCACCTCTAGGATTTAGTTGTTATGAATTGTGCTGCTATAATCATTAGTATGCTCTTTTGAGAAACTCTCTACAAGGAGAATAGCTGAGTCAAATGATATTTCCATTTTTAGTTCCTTGAGAAGCCTCCATACTGATTCCTGTTATGCTTGTACTAGTTTACATTCTCCACCAGTAATGCAGAACGGTTCCTTTTACACTGCAACTATGCCAGTATTTATTATTCAATTTCTTAATGATTGCCATTCTTTCTGGTGTAAGGTAAAATCTTAGTGGCATTTTAATTTGCATATCTCTAATGGCCAGAGATCTTGTATTTATTGGCCATTTGCACTTCTGAGAAGTGTCTGTTCATTTTACTTGCCCATTTTTTGCTTGGGTTTCTTATTTGTGCAGAAGAGGGGTCCCTAATTTTTGAGTTCTTTATATATTCTAGACATATATAGAATTCCTCTGTCTGAGAAGTAGCTGGTAAAATTTTTTTCATTCTGTAGCTTGTTGCTTCGCTCTGTTGGTTGTTTCCTTTGCTGTGCAGGGCTTTTAAATTTGATAAAACCCTTAATTGACTTTGCAACATCTTGCTTACAGGAATGGTTTGCAGTGTATGTGGAGCTTAATCAGCAAATTGCAGCGCTCTTGAATGCTGGAGATGAGGAAGACCTTGTGGAATTAAAGTCACTGCAGCAACAACTTAGTGATGTTTGTTATCGACAGGCCAGTCAGCTGGAATTTAGGCAAAATCTCTTACAAGCAGCTCTAGAATTTCATGGTGTTGCCCAAGATGTAAGTATCTTCTCTGATTGTTTCTCTTTTTTTTCAAATGATCTGAATAATCTACACATAATTTTTGCAGGTTTGCATGCCTTCTAATTATTTTTTTGAAAAATAAAGTAATACCCTGGTCAGTTAATGAGATAAAATTCTTTGATTTCAAAAAAATGAGAAGTCATTCTGCATGCACATAAATCTTTTATTGTCTAACTAGAGTGCTCCAAAGTAGTAGATATGTTTCATTTTGACTGTTTCACAGCATGTATGCTTTTTAACATAGATGGAAGTGTCAATAATTTTTTGCATTTCATTGACGTTTATGTATTTCTTTGTCTTTCTGATGCATGCATCTGTGTGTCCCATCTTCCAGATAACAAGTATTCTGATGATTTATCCCTATCTTTTAACAGCATAGTCTTTCCCAGTGTAATTGTGATAATCTCATTAGATGAACCTCATTAATCATTAAACTCTGTAGATACTTATTACATCAGGGTTATCTCTTTGGTGTCCCTCTGCTTTAGTTGTCTCAGCAGTTGGATGGCTTATTAGGGATGTTGTGCGTAGATGTAGCACCAGCTGATGGAGCATCGATTCAGCAAACTTTAAAACTGCTTGAAGAGAAGCTGAAAAGTGTTGGTAAGCAGATTTTAAAAATGCTGAAACATAAGAGTTCTTTTAAAAATATCATTTCATAGTTACACAATTAAGTCAGACTGTATTGAACTAATTATTACTTGTAGGGAACCCAGGGAAAAATGTATAAAAAGGGTTTTATTCCCTTGAGGTATAATTTGTACTGAAATTTTTTTCATTGTTGATTAAGCACTCCTCCCTTCATTGGGCCTTTAGCCTTTTCTGTTTACTCAGCCATATCTACAGGTGCTATGTCTTGCATATCCAAGGAACAGTTATTTGTAGTGCATGCATAAACTGTACTTAGTTGTGAAGTGTTCTGTGGTAAACCCTGTATGCCCCAAACTGTGTTATGCAATGATTTTTGTTGTTCCTATAGCCTAACCTTGTGGAAACAGTAATTGGTTTGGTTCTGTGCACTTGTGTCTCCACACCGGGAATATTGTCAAGGTTACATAGTCTCCAAGGGAGGAGCGGTCTGATTGCATTAAGCTAACCATTACTGGACACCAGGGCCCCTTGTACCTGTTTTTACAGTAGGAAATACAGTGATGCCCCAGGGAGGGTTGCAAAAATGGAAAGGGCGTGTCTACTAAGGGGAACAAGGGAGAGGAAACAGGACTTTAAGGCAGAGAATTAGCAGAAAGTGGTGAATCTGATTGAACCAAATTGATTAATTTTGGAAAACAACTTCAAGGAATTATTTAAAAAACCATTTTATTATCATTTTATTTGCTTACAGCCTTTAATAATTTAACTGATTTGATGCATACTACATATTTAATATGCCAAATAAAATTTACCTTAAAATAGCAGTAGCTTTCTTGAGCCATGTGTTCTCTAAAAAAAGATTCCTGTGCACATATCTAACTTGGAGTATTGCAGACATATTCCGTATGTTGCTTCACATGGTGGTGCATAAGCGGGACTCTACCCTGCTTACAGTGTTCAGTATCCTTTTACATTGGTGATACATGGTGCGAATGTTTTGAAATCTTGTAAATCTTATGCTTCTTTTTTGTGTGGTATTGGCGATTGAACTCAGCAGGGACTTCACTGAGCTGTATCCCCATCCCTTTTTTATTTTTCATTGATACAGAGTTCTGCTAAATTACCCATAGAGTTGCCTCTGGTTTGTAATCCTTCTTTTTGGCTCCTGAATAGCTGGCATTACAGGCATGTTTTGTTTTGTTTTGATACTGGGGACTGAACTCAGGACCTTCTCATTGAGTTACATCTTCAGCCCTTTTTTTTATTTTGAGACAAGGTGTTATTAAATTGATAAATTGTTCATACTGGACTTGAACTTTGTAATCCTTCTATCTTAGCCTCCCAGAAGGGTGGAATTAGAGGCATGTGTCACGTGTGTGTGTTTTAAACAAAATATTTATATTAACATCCTGAAAGTTGAAATTCATGAAAGCAGAAAAATAAAAAATGGGAAAAAACTTATTTATCAAAACAAATTATTCTACTTTCTTCGTCATTCAGTTTTAAAATCTTGTTACGTGTGGAGGTTCATGTTTTAAGAATTCTCTGTAGGGAGAATTTGGCATAACAGAGAGTTCCACTTTGATCCCTACTTAAAGGGGTTTATTACTTGAAATATTTGATGTTCAGAGAACTCCATTCCAACGTTATTTAATGTATGGAATTTTTATACCTAGAATCCAAGTGCAGTAGCTACTGAGAGGATTTGAGGGAGGGACTATGGTGGTTTAAGAGATTAAATATAGTAACTTTTGTTTTAGATGTAGGATTGCAAGGTTTGCGTGAAAAAGGTCAAGGTCTCCTGGATCAGATCTCCAATCAGGCGTCCTGGGCCTATGGAAAGGATGTAACCATTGAAAATAAAGAAAATGTGGATCACATACAAGGAGTGATGGAAGATATGCAACTTAGGAAACAAAGGCAAAGTTTGACTGTTAATGTTAAATTTGTCAAGATATATAACAAAATGAAAGTGACATAATTTATATTTTACATACAAACTGAAAGTTTTTACCTGGTTTATATTCCTGGTATATAGTAGGCATGTGGTAGCTTTGTGGTAAATAATTATGTATTGTAATTATAATAATTTTCTATATAATTGTACTAACAAATAATGGCAATTTGTTCAGTTAATGAGTTACTTTTCCCCCTTTTGATTTGGTAGTAAGAATTTCAGTTATACTCAAGTATTTCATATTCTATAACGCTTGACTCTGCTTTAAGAAAACCTTTTGGGAGAAATGTGCTTTCCATTTAATTTAATTTAATTTAGAGTTGTTAAATCTGTCATCTCTATTGGTCTGTTTCTTTATCTCATGTCACACATCCATAGTTCTCGTGTGGAAGGGTTGGACAGTAGACTAAGGATGATACTTAGTTTCATTTGATGTAGAACTTGGAATGTAAGGGATTTTCAGTTTATAATAGCAACTGCTATTGCAAAGCAAAAAAAAAATAATTACAAAGTAAAGGATTAACTTTATGCGGGCAAGTGTACATCTATCATGGTTGTGTGAAATACTGTGCACTCAGAAATTGAACGTCATTGACAAAACCTCACAGAAAACTCTCTTCCTACAAAGTAGTAGGAGGCAGGAATGGCGTGTTCTGTGTCTGCAGACTCATGACCACCGAGAGTGGCCGTGTGCTCATTTCACAAAGCCCAGCTGCTGAGTAGACTCATTCCCGGTACTGTCACACCCCGTTCTCTACTCGAAGTCTGCCCTCTCTTAAATGTTTCACTCTGTCTATTTAAATTATACTGGAAAAGTACGCATAAGTAGTGATTATACGAAGAGGTGTTTCTTTAGCTGCCTGATTTCTAGCTGTAGCGCTCTTTCCTGAGGGGAGGTCACTTGCAGTCACTACTTTCAGTTTCCTTTGGTCTGTCTTCTTTCAGACTTTTCTACCCTTGCCCTTTCACTCCATTACCCATTTGTTGGTGTCACCAGTAACCTTTGGTCACCATATGTAATAAAACATTTAATGATCTTAACCAAAACCCAGAGAATATTTTAGTCCTGATGTGCTCGGTTCTAAAAAGCACTGGACACAACTGACCTTGTCTTTCTCCAGTAGACTCCCTGCCAAGCTTGCCTTTCTTCAGAGTACTCCCATGGTTCTCTTTCTGTGGCTCAATTTCCCCGCCCCCTTTTTTTTGTTTGTTTGTCTTTTTCTTTGATGCTTTTGCCCTCTCACTGAAGTCACTTCTTCCAGATTTTGTTTTGAGGTCAAATTGTCATTTCTGTGTTTTCTGTCTGTATAGCCTCACTGTTTCAGTGACTTTTTAAATGATCATAGTCTAAGTAGTTACGGCTTTCACAAAGACCTTTTCTGTATTACAGACCCATATTTCAGGCTGCCTGCTTAGTATCTCCAGTTAGATACCCTATATACTACTCAGACTTTGTATGTCCAAATTAGAATAATTTTCACCAAAAACCTTGCGATTTTCTGTTCTGAGTTCAATATCTCTTGCTGCCTCTGGCCTTGTTCCTCTTTAGTTTGTTGTACATTAATCTGCATACAGTATGAAGATTGTATAAAATCCTCCAGTGACTTTCTATTTCATTCAGATTAAGTTCTGTCTCCTTGAAATAGTGTAATACTCACTATCCATTCCTTCATAATCTTATTTTCTGTAACTTTCCCACAAAATCACACAGTTGCCTTCAGCTTCCTTGAATGCTGCATGCTGTTTCATGTATCCATATTTAAGAATACTTATTTTCCTCAAGTGTGTGTCAGTGGATTCCTAATTATTTTTGAGAGTAAGGGATACTTCTCCTAGGAAGTCTTCCTAGGGTTTCTAAGGCAACTTACTTTCTCCTTTTTATTCCTATAAAACCTTTTGTATAGCTCCATAATAGCATTTATCCCATTGTCTGTTTAAAAATCATCTCCTAAAAATGGAGTATCTCAGTAGTAGAGACTGTATCTTACTTTTCAATACCCGGCCCATGATATGTTGAATATGTATCATTTTTATCATTAAAAGGAGCCTTATATTATTTTTTAGTTTCAGATTTTTAAAATAATGATTTTTTTTTTACTTCTTTCAGCCTGTAGACTTACTTTAACCAAGTTGCATCTTAAGATTAGACTCTGACTTTTATTAAGAACATTTTTTTAAAAAGTAGCCTTGTGATAACTACTTCTGTACTGTTATTGAGCTTTAAGGACATCAGCTGTAGTAGGAGCCCAGTGCCTATTGAATAACTTGTTAATATTTAGCACTGCAGCAAGAGTGCCCCTTGCCACCTATAGTGCGTGGAGTTGCATGGGAGATAGATCAAAACTGAGATCAACAATCAAGACACAACTAAAGTTTTACCTGTATATTATTGAGGCAGACGCTATATTTAGAGATTAGAAAATGCTCTAAATTGTGTTTCTTTCCACCAAAGGTCAATGAAATTTTTCCCCTTAAGACTGTAGATGTAGGGTTTTTTTTTAAAAATCAGAATTAAATTCTGAATAGTACAACTTAGTGAAAAATGTTACATTTCAATATTTGAATTTTGTTCAATGCAGGTTGGCAATGGAGATTTCTTCAGGGTTTAGTGTGCTGTTACATTTATGCTTTGCTTCAATATTTAACAGACTCCATACTATCCTCAAGAGGTTTTGTCATTCAGTATAATTCAGGTATTTTGAGGTTTTGGTGTAACATAGATATAGATTAAATGTACTTAAAATTCCTACAAGTCAATGCAAAATAGTTAGGGTCTCTATAGTGTAGGACTAAGCACTTTAGTGTCATGTAAAACACAAGATAGTGTTATACAAGTTAGTAAAACCAAAATGATGAACTAAATTTATGTTTGGATTCGTTAGATGTGAAGACATGGTGGATGTGCGCAGGTTAAAGATGCTTCAGATGGTGCAGCTATTTAAATGTGAAGAAGACGCTGCCCAGGTAAGGACCAGTCAGCCATGTTATATGGTTGTTGTTAGAAGATTGATTTCATGTTATAAACAAAAGTATACTACATACAGTCCTAAAAAAATAAATTCATTGTCAGAGTCTAGATTATCCTGTTGAAGAATAAAGTTTGGTATTGCTAGCTAGTTTTTTTTTTTTTTCTTGGTTTTTCTCCGCTACCAGGAACGGAACTCACGACCTTGCACTTGCCAGGCAGGTCCTTTGCTGCTGAGCTAAATCCCCAGCCCCGCTAGCTAGTTTATTGACCTCATATGACTTCTCAGTGAAATCCTCTACTGAGCTAGAGATTAGGACTAATCAGTAGTTACTATTATTGGCTAGAGTGTTATATCTCAGAGTAAAGGGTAATAAAGCACCTTGCTTTCTACCCAAAAGATAATTATCAGTACCAGGCAAGCAGCTTGACGTCTTTGTGTAGCTAGCTAGCATCAGATCATCTTATGCTGATGTAGAGGGAATTTATGATTTCATATAATAACATGAATCTGTAATGAGGTCCCAGTAGATATGTATTATAGAACTAGGTGATATGTGATATTAAAGAGAGTGCTTCTCCGTAGTTGTTTTGCCTTCAGATTTTAAAAAATTTGAGAAGTAGAAAAGGTCATTAATTCACATACCATTGCATTGAGTGAAATAGCTGTTAAGAACTTAGGTAATGCTTAATAGATTCATTGATCATATGATAGCAGTACTTGTATGAAGGTGATGTTTTGACATAGTAAGAGTTGTGAATCCGGCTTCACCATTGTGTGCTTTCGTTCAGGCTGTGGAATGGCTGAGTGAACTTCTGGATGCCCTCCTTAAGACCCACACCAGGTTGGGTGATGATGCCCAGGAAACAAAAGTTCTGCTGGAAAAGCACCGAAAATTTGTTGATGTTGCACAGGTGCAGAGCTGATTACTTTCCTTTTCCATAGGCTCAGTGTTTGAATAACTTCCTGCATGACTGTAGTGTAACTTAACCTTCCTAGTCAAAGAAGTTTAGTTTTGTTTCAGAGAAATCACAGAAGTAAGAAAATGCTGGCTTTTGCATCAGAAAACTAGCCTGCATAAAGGTGAGAGGGCTTGTGTCTCCAGTACCAGCTCTGTATACTCCCTCCATTTATGTTAGGTTTTATGGTTTCTTTAGGCCATCCAACTAGTCATTCGCAGAAATTAATATGAAGTATATGTTAATATCAGTAAATTGGAAACCTTACTTTCTCCATCTCAGTAGTGTTAGCATAATAATACAGACTTGTTGTGATGACAAATATCTCAAAGTATTTTTCCTAGTAAATGAGTTCACATTTTAAGAGTTGCAGTTTTCTATCTGGAATGTAAAGTGGCTGATTTTACTTCCTTGTTTTGGTAATTAGTGAGCAGGCGTTCCTTTTCGACCAGTGGTACTTAGCAGAGTGAGATGGAGAAAGCAGAGTAAGAAGAGGAAGCTTAAAAAACTTACACTCTAACTAAAAATATTGTTTCCCCTCTATTATGTATACATGCAAATCATCTATAGTAGCAGGTGCCACTGCATTCATTCAGTATTGATTCTGAATCCTCCACTCCTTCACTCCTCCACTCCTTCCCCCTCCTCCTCAGAGTTAATTACAATTTCATGTTTACCTTTGCTGTTCTAGAGTACTTACGACTATGGTAGACAATTGCTGCAGGCCACGGTTGTGTTGTGCCAGTCTCTGCGCTGCACCTCTCGGTCCTCTGGGGATACGCTTCCTCGCCTGAACAGAGTGTGGAAACAGTTTACAATAGCATCTGAAGAAAGGGTACATAGGTTGGAAATGGCTATTGCATTTCACTCAAATGCTGAAAAGGTTTGCTTTCTCTTTTTTTTTAGTGTACTATCAGTGATACTTATTGCACGTATGCTTAAAATGTGTTGATTCTGATAAATGTAGTTATATGATTGATGTATTTGTTAAAACTTCATATTAGGTCAGTTGTTAACATTTTTAAAGATACATCCAGTGGTCCTCGTTTGAACCTGCTTCTCTCCTCCATTAACCTGATATCTAGCGGTGCTCTCTGTTCCTGGTGTCATGATGTCAGGCTCTTTCATGATTCCGGGAGAGAAACCTGATTTCATAACTACTACTAGTTATCAGCAAGTTTAAAAGCTCACTTTGTAATTTTACAGTTGAAGTTATAGATTGTCCAACTAAAATAATGAGAAAATCTTTTTTAAAACTGTGTTAAGGTACACTCTAGAATTTATTACCCATGAGTTCAAGAAACCAGTTAATCCCAGAAACCAGTCATAAAATACTTGGTGTTACTTGGGCAAAATTTTAATGGAACCCTTTTCTTTCACTTCACAGTGAAAATGTATAGCACCCAGGTTTACATTTTCACTTGGAAAAAGCGGTTGATTTTATATTTAACTTTGTATTGGTCTCCTTTAATGAGTGTTTGTCTGTAGGGGATATTAAATATACTTTAAGATATTAGAGAACTCAAAGGGCCTTAGGAATTAAGCAGTTTCTGTCTGTGTTTTGAAGTACAGCTATAGGGAAGTGCCTATAATTAGTAGTTTCACCAGGTTTCTGATCTCTGCACATCCACTTTGGTTGAAATGGGTCTAAAGATGGTGAAAGAAAGTATACAAGATGGCTTGGCTTGTTTACTGATTATTATTTTTATGAATAAACTTTTTATTAATATAAAAGTTTAATGTAGAAAAGTTTACAAACCTTAAGTGTTCTGTGTGGTGAAATTTCGCAAAGTGAGCATGCCTGTATAACCAGTGCACTGCTGAGAGAACAGAACATTACCAGGGCTTTAGCATCACCCCCTGCCCTCAGGTGGTTACGACACTGGTCCCTACACCCCCAACCAAAGGTGAGCACTGGCCCAATTTCTAGCACCACTGATAACTTTTTAGGATATTACTTTTAAAATGTAACTGCAAGGACATTTTAAAATGTAGAATTCTTTAGAGATTATATAAGGATAAATATGGTTGTGTTTTTGTTTTTGCAGTACTAAAGATTGAACTCTGAGCGATATCCCTGGCCTTTAATTTGTTTTTATTTTGAGACAAGATCTTGCTAAGTTGCTGAGTTCTGTGACTGTGCTTGAACTTGTGCTCCTCCTATCTGAGCCTTCCAGAATGCTGGGATGACAGGCATGTGCTACCGTGCTCAACTTGGTTAGGAACTATTTTTCTTTTTGAGACAGGGTCTCGTTATGTAACTCAGGTTGGCCTTGAACTCAGTATGTAGCTCAGGCTGGCTATGAACTCACAGCAATCCTCCTGTCTCAGCGTCCTGAGGGCTGGGATTATAGGCATGTACCACTATGCCTTGCTTGGTTAAGGACTTCTTTAGTACAAAATCAATGCTTCCATTTTTTTTCTGTTACCAGGCCTTTACCTTGCTTATAACAAACTCTAATAAGATATAATGTAAAAAGTGCCAAAATAAATACTTGTTTTTCTTCTCCCCCAAATTTTATAATTCTTTCTTAAATTTAAATAGTAAAGGAAGAAATAAGA